CTTGGCCGTCTCCCAGTCTTCCCTGCGAGGATTGTGGGGTTCGGTCGGAGCTACTTATACTCAGTTAATTTCTCGGCGTAGAGCTGCCATTCGCCGCTGGGTTTGGCTCTGTTGAAGAGTCGTCGGACCTCCGATCTAAGATTGGCCAGCTTTTTGTTCCACCAGGGCTTGTTGTTACTTTTTTGTATGCCCTTGTGGGGCAACTAGATTCATATGCATCCAATATTACACCACTGACTTCCTTTGCGTACCATTCTAGATACAGGTGGTTCCTAGCCCTACCTGCATCTATTTGGTCCAGGTTGTCTACGAGATTGGTGTGGTATAGTTCCCAATCGGTTTTTCTTGGATTCCTTCGAATTTCAGTTTGGAGTATGATTCCTCCTAATTTGAACTCGATGATTCTGTGATCTGATAGGGAAGGTTCCGTTGAAACCCTCCAATCTTTCACGTAACTAGTTACACTAGCACTCCCGATTGTTAAATTTAATACTTCCGCCCGCGTTTTTGTCACAAACGTGGGGGTGTTCCCTATATTGAGAACTTCAACATTGTATGCTAAGAGGAATTCTAGTAAACACTCACCTCTAGTGTTAGTATTAGTGCTTCCCCATACCTCATTGTGCGTATTGGAGTCACATCCCAATAGCAGAGGTAGTCGCCGTTGGCTGCAGAATCGCGCGAGCCCCTCTACCTCCGGAGGCGGTGTCTGCCCATCACCCGGAAAGTATGCAGAGGCAATCACGATATTTTTGCTACAACCCTCGATATTAAGTTGAACCATGATTGGAACAAGATCCCGGGTTGTAAATTCTGAAACACATGTGTAGTTAATGTAATGTAATCATCATCATCATCATATCAGCTTATTCAACCATTTCCAATTATGGTGTAGCCTCCCTCACATACTCTCTTTGTAGTTAGGCCCATTGTTTATTGGCTATGTGGACCAATCCCTGCTAATTTCCTAATATTATGGTCCCATCTCAGGTTCGGTCTTCTTCTAGGTCTCTTTCTTCTCGGTGCGGAATTTTTGTGGTCCATATGTTATCCGTTCTTCTTGCCAGGTGTCCTGCCTATTGCCATTTGAGGGACTTGACTCTGAGTCTTGACTCTGATATTACTAGGGTCTTCCGTTGTATCCACTCAATTCTTTTACGGTTTCTCTTACTTACGAGCATTGTGCGAACTGCAGTTTCCTTATGATGTCCGTTTTAAGTGTCTGTTATTGATGTTGATGTCCGTTTTAAGTGTCTTCTTTACAAACTTCTTTATATTACAATGTAATAAATATAATAATACTTATACCGGGTGTTGCATCGTTGGACGAGACATATGAAATCCCATGTAAATTTTAATGGGGCCAATTATTGGCTTCCCTAATTATTTTAGAGAATAATTCTATTTAGGTTTATTGAAGAGCACTAAAACCCACATTCAAAAGAATAACTTTAGATATTTTTGATTAGCTCGTTTACGAGTTATAGCCGATTTCTTTTTAAATATTTCTCCTTTCTTATGGCCCTGTATTTACTTATGAGCACCAGTCAAGGTAAAAGATAACTGTCAAATCAAGTTGTCATTTCAGAAATTTACCTATTTAGTGCTTTATTATTATTGAAAAGTCATTCCTACATCGGAAATCTTAAAGATATATTTATAAATACAAATTAATATGAATTAAAGTAAAATAAAGTAATCAATTACAAGGTTAATTATAGTATTATTACAATATTCAATAACTTATTAATTTAGGTACTATTAAATTGTTAGAACTTCAGGATTTAAGAAGATTTTCAAATATTCCTCCATCGACGGCTAGACAATAACCCAGGCGATCATAAAATTCTCTACTTACATTCGCTAGTTGGTAAACTGAAATTCTATTGCATTCGGCAGAAATAGCATTTTTTAACTCGTCTATATACTATATACTCTATATACTCTCTCGTATTTTTTATCCTTGTATATCCTGTTTTTTAAATGGCCCCAGAGAAAGAAATCATTTGGCAAAATATCAGGAGACCTTGCTGGCCAATTTACTGTATGATTTAGGCCAATAACGTTTCCGTTAAATCTATTGTCTAAATATTCCCGAACAGCCAGGGTACTATGTGCCGGGCAGCCATCCATTTGGTACCAAACTTCCTGATTTTCCCTAGCGGCATCATGTAAAGCAAGTAAAATATGATTTTCGAGTAGTTCCAAATAATATTCTGCATTTAAATTTCGCATAAGAAATAATGGCCCGATAATATTGTGTCCGAATATCCCTGCCCAAACATTTACTTTCTGTGGATATTGCGTCCTTGTTTCGACAAACCTGTGTTGGTTTTCTTTGTTCCAATATCGATAATTTTGAACATTGGGTTCATTATTTAAGGTAAACGTGCATTCGTCAGTGAAACATATGTTTTTTAAAAATTCCCTATCCGTGTTTGCTCTTTCCATCATATCAAAACAAAACGCCTGCCGCCGTACTTCGTCCCCATCTCGTAGCTCTTGGTGTTTTTCATATTTGAAGGAATAGTATTTATGTCGTTTCAAAACGCTGTAGTGTGATCTATTCCTATTTCATCCTCAAGTTTCCTTGTGCTGATCTTTCCATCGTTCTCTTCCACTCACAATAAAACTTCCACCTCGGTATCATTTCTTGCATCTTCTCTTTGTTCCTGCCTTGCTTCACATCCGCAGTTATTTATTAGGGTACCTTCGGTCTCAAATCTCTGGATATTCCTTGCGATTGTAGATTTTACAGGTATCGGTCTATTCGGATACAGAGCAGCAAACATGTCCGACACCTTTTGATAACTATTTCCTTGATAATACCATTTAATCATCAATACTTTTTCTTCGGTAGTGTAATTCATGGCTAATATTTCCGATGTAGGAATGAGTTTTTAAAAATAATAAAGCACTAAATAGGTAAATTTCTGAAATGACAACTTCATTTGACAGTTATCTTTTACCTTGACTGGTGCTTATAAGTAAATACAGGGCCATAAGAAAGGAGAAATATTTAAAAAGAAATCGGCGATAACTCGTAAACGAGCTAATCAAAAATATCTAAAGTTATTCTTTTGAATGTGGATTTTAGTGCTCTTCAATAAACCTAAATAGAATTATTCTCTAAAATAATTAGGGAAGCCAATAATTGACCCCATTAAAATTTACATGGGATTTCCTATGTCCCGCTCGACGATGCAACACCCTGTATACTTAAGACTTAAGTCTTCTTAAAATTGACTTGTTGCAGCTCTGCTTCCAGTGACTATACTAGTGGTTGCGGTTTATAGCTTCAGGAGAATTGTAAAAAATATTTTTTTTTCGAGGCCCAGTTGATTAATATCGGTCCATCTAAAGGAGAGATTGGAATGAAAATATATTTAATCTTCTTCCATTACTTTATTTTTGGATAATAAAAAAATGGTCTGGAACAAAAAAGTGCAGAATTAATTGAATAATACAGAGTACATTAGACCTCAATTAAGAAGTCGAATTTTGAGCTCCATTGTGGCTCAATTTATAAAAACTATCGATAGTGATGCTCTGCCTGCATGTGTACAATCCCAGAACCAGTACCAGGTGAAGCGCGGGTACAAAAAATAGCCAAGGTGACTAGCTGGCTACTAAATAAGCTGTGATATTATAATACTAGATGACGTAATTCAAGCAAATCGATGAAGCTTAGTATTATACAGGGTGTCCCAGAAATAAATGCAAGTCTTTTAAGGGGTGGTAGATCTCGATAAAAGAAACATATTTTCTCTTTATCGTTTTTCAAATAAGTCCAAAATGACGGAGTTATTTTACTTTAAAAATTTCCAAAAAAATATATTTTTTGCTCAAATTTTGAGAACCACTGTATCTTTTTTGGATTTTTTTTCTTGTAAATTTAATCTAATACCTTTGTTGCCATATTATCAAGAAATTATGTTTTTTAACTAAAAACTAAAATAATGATGGACTGTTGGATACAGTAATTAAAGAACGAAACCAACTTGGACGGAATGCTATCACGGTATTAAATGGGATACTGTGGGACAGAAGCATAAACAACAGGAACAAAACACTAACATATAATACCATCATCAAGAGTATAACCACGTACAGCTGTGAAGTGTGGCCAATTAAGGAAACAAGAAAACGAATGCTGGAAGCTACAGAGATGGATTTTTGGAGATCAGCAGGCAAATCAAGACTCGAACGAATAATTAATGAATGCATAAGAGAGATGACTCATATGGTACGGGTGTCCAAAGAATGACAGTAATAAGAATCCCAAAGCAAATTATAAACTGGAAACCTGCAGGAAAAAGAAAACCGGGTAGACCGAGAAGAAGTTGGCAGGAAGGGATTGACGCGTTTATGGAGAAAAGATCTCTCGGAGACGGTGCATGGAGAGACAGACAGGCATGGACAGGTGGCATCGGAAGACGTAAGACATCATTTTGAACCGATTAATATATAATTCAAAAAAATATATTCTAAAAAATTTTTCAAAAAATGTCGAATTTTCAATTTTTTTTTTGCGAAAAGAACCTCATAGGCGTGTTTCTGGGGTTGAACTATACTACGAGTTAAAATACTTGCACTTATTTCTGGAACACCCTGCATACTAATACCAGTAGAATGTGAGTGAAAAATAAAATATTTTTTTATGAACTAATCGAGCTGATTACAGAGTCATAATTTAAAACAATGGGTATTTCCAAATATAAAATATAAGTTATTTTATTCTCACTTCACTACCCTGCCTCGAAAAAATACATATCAAGTAGCTAGTTCTTCAAAAATTTATATCAAGTATTGACAAACTATCTATTAATTTTAAAAATGATGTGTCATCCTATGTGATATTTTACCCCAGCAAAAATTTAACCTCTCTGAAAACCATCTAACATGTTATTTTTATCAATTAGAAAAATATCTTCGTTATACGTCTCAAGTATTTTAATTGATTTCAATTAGCAAGTACTTGTAGTTCCGCAAAAAGAAATGACAGATTAAAATGATTAGATAATATAATTTCAGTATAAAGTTATAAAAAATGTAAAATCAAATGTTAGGGTTATATGGTCGCAGGTAGCTCAATAGAGAAGTTTTAACCATGTCTAAATTTCTCTTGATTAGTATCATCTTCGTTCTAACGAGATGGACACTTGGAGGACCTACAGTGACCATTCCTCAAGGAAGCTTGGAGGGTGGTGAAGGACAAGATATCGACGGAAACCAATTTTATAAATTTTTAGGGATTCCGTACGCCAAGCCTCCAGTGGGAGATCTGAGATTTAAGGTAAGATCAAATTATTTAAACCAATTGGAATTAATGATACAGATATGATCAATTTTAAGGAACCTGTGAATGCAGAATCTTGGGAAGGGGTAAGAAATGCAACTGTGGAAGGAAGTTCTTGCGTTCAAAAAAGCGGAGGTTCAGAAGATTGTTTGTATCTCAATGTTTATACCAGAAATGTAAGATTATTTTTATTTATTTATTTCTAACATGTGTTTTGTGTAAGTGTTTTCATAATAATAAGTGCGTATTTCATATGAGATATTTTTCAAATCTCGATTTTTGATTCAAATGAGTTTTTGATTAAATTCTAATTTGTTTTGAACTTTTTGTTATTTGTCCTTTTTGTATAAATTGAGAACATGGCAATATTTTTCAAATCACTTTAGGTTGCGTATCTTCCTAATTCTTCCAATCAATGGTATAATCTAAACAGAAACCAGCTTGTCAATGGCTTTCTACACGTAATCATAAAACAAATATGTATATTTCATCTCGTGCTCAGAAGAAAAAAATATTTAAATTGTCTAAATATATCTACTTACAGAACGCTTTAAAATTTTGCTTACTTTACAATAACTCTTAAACACCTTCTACACTTTGCGGGAAATGTTTTGCGAAATATTTCTGGAGATATTTCGTAAAACATTTCGCGAAGTATTTTTCGAAATGATTTTAAAAATATACTGAATGCTTTCCATATATTGTGGAGAATCTCGATTTGTCTCGGCCGCAAACCCCGAAACAGATCGAAACAAGCCGTGATTGGTGATTTGTTTTGGAATTGTCACAGGAAATGTTTCGAGAAACGTTTCGATCAGTTTCGACAACACTTTTATTACACGTGTCTATATTCTTCGTACTACTTCGCGAAGCAATCAAGGTCAAACTTTGTGACTGTTTCAGAAAAAAAAGTAAACATGGAGTTTGAATAAATATCGTTAGTTTGTAATGGAGTACAATGTAATACCACTATATTAAACTGATATGAAAAATTAAAAAGAGTGTATTTAGAAAACAGTTACCGATGGTAGATTAAGTTAGTTATTCCTTTAAGGTTACACAAGAATATTTAATTTTAAACACTGTCTAATATTTTAAATTGCAATATAGTAAAAAAAATATATTTCCAAAACTTCAAATTTAACTGTTCTCGCGGTCCGCCTTTTATCGACTTATAATCCAAAAATATTGTTTACAGTTTTTTCTTAAAAACAATAAGAGAACATTGCTATAAAAAAAATTCCGTGGATCATACTTTTGTTGACATCGGGTCAATCAATAATTTTCCCAATCAGTGTTGATATAATGATTGATTATGTTACTAATATTGGCCATCAAGCAATACAACTGTTATATTAATCAATTAAGGCCGCGTAAATAAACATAACATATACAATTTTATATACTAATTCATTATAATAAAATTAAATAATAAAAATATTGTAATTATATTCAGTGGCAGACTAAGCCTGTCGGGGGCTCGGGGCGGCGAAGCTAAATGTGGCCCCCGGTCTGGTTAGATAATGATATACTTCTAATGCACATTTTGTAAAAATTGAATGATGTATGTATAATGGTTGACAAAATTCAAGTATTTATACAGGGTGTCCCAGGCTGAGCCTGCGTTAGAAGTTTCTAAAGAACTACAATATCTAGATATGAGATTTTGTGCATCATTGTTTCAATGAGATCTATCGATTAAAAATATTTTCAATTTGGCGGCACTTTCGAAAGTACAGAAAGCTGACAGCAACTTTCTTATTTTAAATGGGTGACCTCATTTTTATTACATACTTAAATTCTCTGTAAAATTTTATGAATTTTGATATTAAACACTCTATACCTAACGTTAACCTTTTTTGAAAAAAAAAATATTTATAATTTTTGGAGGAAAAAACTGCCTGTCAAAAATATGTATATAGCCTAAACGTCAAATTTAGTGATTGCCACAGCTACTGTACCATAAAGAGAAGACATGCGACTATCTATGTCAAAAATTAAATAGTCCGAATGTCATATAATAATGACCGCAGCTGTCATGGAATTGAGCGATTAAACAATTATCATAAATCATTTTTTTTTCAAATGGAAATCCACTTTTTTATTTCACTCCTGAAAAGGCTTTCGTTACTTTCGTTTTTAAAATTTGTTACTTTTTGACTATACATGTTCCTATACCTAAAATAAATCGTTTTTAAGTTATACCCCAGTGCAGTTATGACATTTACCATGTTGAAATTGGAAAAATTTTTTGAAAGCTGCGACTATTGAAAATAGTTAGCATTAGTATCCCTTATTAACATACTAAAAGTCCCCATTTGTCCGGTGTGTGCGTCATCAAAAAAAATCGGCCGCCATCTTGAATTTTTGTACTTTTTGGGAAAAAATGTAAATAACTCGAAAACGGTGCGTTATAGCGAAAAACTTCAAGAGGTAAAAATTAAAGAGAATAAAAAGCTCTATCAGAATCAATAAAAAGTAGTTTATTATCCTAACGCAGTGACGTACAAAATTTTTTGAAAATCGAGCAATTTTTAAAAGGAATCACCGAAATGCAAATTACTAATTTTTTAAGCTTACTAACAAATAACATGGATATTTAGCATCAATTCAACTAAAATACAATCCTTGTGACATTTCCAAGAAATATTTATTGGTGGTTTAATAATATTTCAAAATTAACAAAAATTGTAAAAGTGTATCCTTTACTAAATACATGTGTTCTAATAATGTGCGAAAGATGCCTCCACCTTGTCCCGATCGGGGCGATTTGCACTTAAACCAAGGTATTTCTGTTACCATTTTGTAAACAACTTGTTTTTAAAAATACAGTGACAGTTTGAAAAATTAGGCTACAGATACTGATTTATTAGTTTTATTACTGCATTATCGGACAAAAAATTCTATTTTTATGCTTCGGCCTGGAAAATCGTCCAAACCTTACAGAGTAACTGACATCGATAATATGCAGAACAAGATTGGTGACATGAAGCATTCACTCTTATTTGCACATGCTATATGAGGATGTGATACAACCTCGTGCTTGTTTAAAAAAGGTAAACTGGCGACTCTCAAAACGTTGCAAAAAGATCCTCATCTGCGACAAATTACATCCATTTTTTTAGATCCTGCAGCACAAAAATCTGAGCTAGTCGAAGCTGGAAATACATTCTTATTTTTATTATATGGTCGACATAGGCTAGCAAAATATTTAGATTAGTTGAGGTATTATAAATATAAAACCCTTACATCTCGTCAGATACTTAGTAAAAATTTTGATTCAGCTACCTTACCTCCAACAACTAACGCAGCTGAAAATTATTATTATATATGATTTACAAATGCAGTATTGGCTAAATAACGGAAAAGAGGCAACAGAATGGGGATGGACTAAAAAAACGGATACCTTAGTTCCAAAAACAACGTCAAACGCAGTGGCACCAGAATTAATGGTATTGAAAATGATTTACTATAATTGCAAATCTGGCTGTAATAAACTATGTACATGTTTAAAATCCAGTATGCCCTGTTCAAGCTTGTGTGGTAACTGTAATGGTATTTCCTGCGACAACAAACAAATCTCGGTCGATGCAGAACAAATCGAATAAAATTGTAAACTTCATTTTTTTTCTAGAGATGACAGTTTGAAAAGTTAGGTTACAAGTTGGTAACACATTTTTATTAAAATGGTCATAATTTGAATTATTGGTATTCGATTTGTGGGGGTATGTTTATAATGTATTTACCATAATGAAAAAGTGTTAAGATCGTAGATGATATTTATGTCAAAAAGACATTCGCAAGTACTTTACATTTTATTTCTTTCTTTCAACCTGTAGCCTAATTTTTCAAACTGTCTCTGTATGTATTTTTAAAAACAAGTTGTTTACAAAATGGTAACAAGGAGACCTTGGTTTAAGTGCAAATAGCCCCGACCGGGACAAGGTGGAGGTTGCTTTCGTACATTATTAGTACAAATGTATTTAGTAAAGAATAGCTTTTACAATTTTAGTTAATTTTGAAATATTATTAAACCACCAATAAATATTTTTTGAAAATGTCATAAGGATTGTATTTTAGTTGAATTAATGCTAAATATCCATGTTATTTGTTAATTAGCTTAAAAATTTAGTAATTTGCATTTCGGTGATTCCTTTTAAAAATTGCTCGATTTTCAAAAAATTTTTGTACGTCACTGCGTTAGGGTAATAAACTATTTTTTATTGGCTCTGATAGAGTTTTTTATTCTCTTTAATTTTTATCTCTTGGAGTTTTTTGCTATAACGCACGGTTTTCGAGTTATTAACTTTTTTTCGCAAAAAGTACCAAAATTCAAGATGGCGGCCGATTTTTTTTGATGACGCACACACCGGACAAATGGGGACATTTAGTATGTTAATAAGGGTTACCAATGCTAACTATTTTCAATGGTCGCAGCTTTCTAAAAATTTTTGCAAATTCAAAATTATTTGCACTGTCCTATTATTTAAGATTTAGCTTTAAAGCGTATATTTTTCTTGATTAGCTTATGACAGTATATTATCGATCATCATTTCCAAACTAACTTTGCGCTGTTTTTTTTTCGATCGTACGGTATATTATTAAAATATCAACTAACAGATGTCACCAAAGAAAGAAAATACGAGATATATTTATATAAATACACTTTTTAAACTTTTAAAGCCGGAGTCTCATGCACCCGAAATCCGATGGTACGACATCCGAAATTTGAAGTTATCCTGTGAAATAAAAAAGCCTGTCACATACATCCGAAAGTTCGTTCCGAAATTTGACAGTTTTGACATTTAGACCTGTCATTTCCTATCAACAGTATCAACATTATTACATGTATTATTGGAGAAACACTTATAAAAATAACTTCCTCGCCAAATATCCCGAAATTGCCCCCTTCCCATTAAACTTGTTTTTAAAAACCAATATTTTCAAAAAAAGTGAGGTTAAAAAACACACGATATCGTACAAAAGTTAAACAAAATTTAACTTTATACGACGTCGGACGATTTGTTAAAAATATCGGATAAAAATTGGTGTCAAAATATTTCGACCAATAGGAGCACCGTCGGATCGTCGTGTCATCGGATTTCGGATGCATGAGACTCCGGCTTAAGGCAGGCAGTAGTTATAATATAGGAAATTCAAATAATTCATTTTCTGACAGATGGAAATAAATTGTCTGACAGTTTGACACTTAATGTCAAAGGAAGCTAGATAAAATCAAGAAGAATATATGTTTTGAAACTAAATCTTAAATAACTTAATAACGATTTATTTTAGGTATAGGAATATGTCTAGTTAAAACGTAACGAATTGGAACACATTTTCACTGGTGAAATAAAAAAAGTGGGTTTCCATTTGAAAAAAAATTATTTATGATAATTTTTTAATCGCTCAATTCCATGACAGCTACCGCCATTATTATATGACATTTGAACAATTTAATTTTTGAAATAGATAGCTACATGTCTTTTCTTTATGTCACAGGAGCTGTGATAATCACTAAATTTGACTTTTAGGCTGTACACATTTTTTTGATAGGTAGTTTTTTCGTCCAAAAATTTTAAATATTTTTTTCTTAAAAATGTTTCCAGGGAAATATCGCGACAAAATATCGCGATTTTGTAAGTCCTCCAAATTCCGAGGGGCCCCTTCGCTGTCTCAGGCCCGTGGCCCCCGTTATACTAAAGACTTCACTGCTCATCATCAGTCATGAAGCTAGAATACAAGTTATACTGTGCATTGTTTGTAATTTAAAATGTTTATTCAGTAAAAATAAATAATGAAACCATTGAAAAATAACTTAAAAGATAAAATAAATAAATTCAGTCTCAAAATATATAAAAAATAATAATTATTAGATATTTTAAACAAAGAAAATTACCCCTTGATTTAATTTCCTAAATAGAAAATGCCATTGACAATTACTGGGGCCTGATCATTGATAATTAAGTAAATATCTGCTTCCATTTATACTGTTTATAGTTGGCGTATACGTATGGTTTGCATACTCCACCTACAAACTGCTGTATAACTACTGCACATATTGGCCTTGTTTGCCAGTTGTAAAATGTTAAAAAAAAATTGTTAAAAATTACTTATTAAGATTCGGAGGCCCACAAAAGACGGGGCCCAGGGCGGACCGCCCCTTCCGCCCCCCCCCCCCTAGTCCGCCACTGATTATATTCCTGCACATTCAGTGAAAAATTTTGTTTTTTAAATACCGACTATACATATTATTTTTAACGTGTGTTCAAGTTCAAATATTAATCTTCTGGAATATATATCAACATAAAACGGAGATGTAATTAAAGAAATATCATACTAATAACAAATATCTTAAAAACGTCTAGGTTTACTTATTTTACTGAGATTTATGAAAAAAAGTCCTTTGTCTCGAGTATAGGAACCGACACGTCACGCGTCGTGGGGAGTAGCTCGAGACAACACAAAGAACGTCGCCAAAAAAATCCCCCACACCCTTCTCGGCTATTTCACGAGTAGTTTTGAGGCGTTTTTAAGAAAAGAAAATATGCCAAGACAAACGGGAACAAGCCGAGACGACCGGAGATAAGCCGAGACGAGACACAGTTAAGCACGGCGCCCATTGAATCGGGTCGGATCGGCACGGAACAGTCCTGTCGGAATGATTTGAAATACTTGGAAATAGATTGACATCCGCGCACTGCTTCAGTCCATCTGTTAGGATAAGTTAGGTTAGGCTTCGAAATCAGTACCATTTTTGGTAGAGAGGGCAAAAAATTCCGAAGGTCCGATCAGTTTTCTCGTTCTGTTTGATGTAAACAGTGTGTACTACCTTGTAGTTGATTATTTTGTGTGCTATTTATTGTTGACAATGGATGAAGAACTGTTAATTGATACTGTTAGAGAATATCCACACCTCTATGATCAAGCTAGTTAATTTAATTTTCCTATTTAGTTTCTCTATCTCAAGGCATGCCAACGCGATCATATCATCTTGGTCGGAAGATGAAGAGCTCATATTATATAAATTATTAAGTATTGTTTATAAAATTCTAATCCGAACTAAAATAAACAACACGCCACAAAAATTATATTTCGACTGATAAACTGAAGCATACTGATTTGGTGAGCGGGTGTTGGACGTTTCCGGACTGAACGATGCCGATCCGATCCGATCCGATCCGATTCAATGGGCGCCCTGCTTTAGACGTGGAAACACGACCTTCGGACTGTTTTCCGCATAGTGTGGGGGGTGTATTATAACAAGAACTACATCTTGAAACTAATATGAAGAAACTGCGTTACAAAACAGTAAAAAAAATGTTACTTGAAAAATGTTCATTTATTATGTAAAAATTCGATCTGAAATCATTACTTGAAACGGAAATTACATTACGGAAATGTTATTTTAGATCTATTTTAAGCATGTGAAATACTGCGTTTTGAAAAATAACCAGATATTTTTAACAGTTACCAACAGAAAATTCGACTGACCTCAAGGCAGTGATGGTATGGATCCACGGAGGCTCCTTTACATCAGGTTCCGGTTCTCCCACAATATACGGTCCAGAATTCCTGTTAACCGAAGACGTGATAGTTGTTTCCATCAATTACAGATTAGGACTTCTCGGTACATGTTTTTATTTATAATGATTTTTAAATGTTAATTATTATTATTTATACTTTTCAGGCTTTATTAGATTCAAAAATGAGAGTTTGGGTGTTCCTGGAAATATGGGATTTAAGGACCAAGTCAAGGCGTTGGAATGGGTTCAGAATAATATTGTGTATTTTAATGGAGATCCTAATAATGTCACAATATTTGGCGAGAGTGCTGGTTCAGCATCGGTACATTATCATGTGCTATCGCCTTTATCAATGTAAGACATTTTTTTTTGAAACTAAAATTTTGAACTTCCATTGTCTTTATTTAGTTTTTCATTAACACAACGTCAGAAGGATCACTGACCGTTATCAAGTCTAAACTAATCTAATTCCTAAAACGACTAATCTTTTATACTGCATCCATGAAGAAGTTGGGTGTAGCCAACTATGAGGTTGTCCAGAGAATGCGTGCATTGATGGGTTTTATCAGAGGTTGCCATATCGTAGATATTTCCGTACTAAGATTGCTAAAAATGTTGTTATTGTTAAAAACAGCTTCTTTAAATTTACGCTTTTTCCAATGAGGTTCTCTGTGGACAACCCGAGCTTCTAACCACTTTATCTTGTGCTGTTTAGACCAAACATGGTCAGCAATATCTGTCTTTATTGTTTCGTTTATTTGTACATATTTTTATGATCGCTAAAGCTTGATTTTCATGCGTCCGTTACCAGCGTTTTTTATAACATCATAGCGTTTTCGCGCCACTTTTCATCCGTAAATTTTTTACTCCAGCCCGTCAACGGAGAATGATCGTTTAACGGACGTTTTGACACTTTTTTGACAAATTTAATCTAACCTCAATAAAAATATAATAGTACAAGAGCTAGCAACGTCGGGAAAACGAGAATTTTAAGAGCGCTGGTTCTTTGATATATCTTTTGCTATGCTCTCCTGACCAAAGTGCGTCTGGCTGCCGGTAGACTACTGTGGTTCACTACTGTGCATTACATCTGTACAGGGCATCCCATTTTCATGTGTTTTATGGCATTTCTTGTTTATGAGTAAAAATACAATGATTTTGCGATTTTCACATTATTTTGCTACTTTTTAAAGTTTTAACAATTCTTTTCTTAGTTACTTCAGAATGGTTTGACTGAAAACTTAAATATTGTCCCGTATGTGCGGGTTTTCTATATACAGTCATGCAGTCAATATACAGGTCAATACAAGTCTCAATAGATGCTCCATTTCTGCTCACAAAGGCATCCAGAAACGATCAACAGAGGTTTTGCTCTTTCTCAATCATAAATTTGATGGTATCATTTTGTGAGTTGAGATGATTGAGGAAGGAATCCCAATGTCTATCGGTTCCGTCCCAAATTATGAAAGTATCGTCAACATATCGAATGCCTGGCTGTAGTGTAAAAGCACAGCTTACAGAATAACATAGCTTTGACACTCGCCAATTTTTCCCACGCTCGAATTTAAAACGCCCTACTCCGACGATGCGCTAACTGAATTAAGCGACCGACAGTCAGCCTCATTCAGTCGATGCATAGCCTCCACCGGTGGCGCGTAGGGCCGTATTACGGAAGATTTTAATTCGATTTTTTTTCTTATATTTAACCATAGGTATTTGTGCTTTTATTTTTATTGATGGAATGGGAAAAAGTTTTCCGGGATGTGCGGCTGCTGGTTGCACAAATAATTATGGAAATAATTCAAAATATAGTCTGTTTAATTTTCAATTCAATTCAAAATTAATGTTCAATTCAAAAGTATATTCACACAATTAAATTCAACCATCAATCAAAATTTTCCTGTAATGTATTTTTTGTTGTTAAAATTATACGCAAAAGTTACAATTTTTTATATATAGAATATTAATAAGAACTTAAATGTAGCAAACAAAAACGAAAGCTTCTAATTTAGAAACATTCGTAAATAACTATAAGTAATCAATGTACCTATTTCATTTTGCTGTTATTTCTAGAAATAAATTAATTAATTTGTTTTTTAAATGTTTTTCTTTGAGAATGCATATTTATTTAAAGTCAACAATTTAAAAAACGTGTATCTAAATTATGTTCTAGCACCAGTCGAATAACTTTTTACGTCACGTGTAAAATTTTTTTGAATACATCTCTGGGCTGACTGGCGCTTACGCGGCTATTGGTTTTGGCGAGAGAGCTCGCCGCTCTAGAGTTCCCCATCTTTCGAATCGCAAATCCGAGCGTAAAAAGATCAAAGCGGCACGCTACACTGTCCGAGCTGGTTTTTACTTAAGCTGTGGTAAAAGCTCAGTAGTTTTAGGAATTATATAATATTATAATATATTGCTTTACACTTGATAACGGTCAATGATTTTTCTGACCGAAACGTTGTGTTAATAAAAAAAATGAAAAGACAATAGAAGTCCGAAATTCTCTTAGTTTGAATACTGAATCATTGTCTAACACATTCAAAGAAACCTTTTTTTAATAAAAAAAATCTAAATCTACTTTTAAGGCAAATATTATTTACAGAGAATTTTTCCAAAAAGCAATTTTACAAAGTGGAGCTGCATTGGACAGTTGGGCGGACGATTCCGACCATGACCCCATAGCCTTAGCGCAACTGTTGAACCCACTAACAACAATAACGTCAGAAAGTGAAGCTCTTTCAATATTTCAACAACTATCTGCCGAAGCTATCTTTGTCGTTCAATCTTTATTACTTTTGGTAAGATATTTATATATTTAGCAAATTTTTAAAAGAAAAGGAAAAAAATAGTGTAAAAACAAATTAAATTATTTTTTATAGAATTTTGCACCTACTGCTTAATTATCGGAAAAAGGTAATAGTTAAAATATTAAGTTGTGTTTCAAAATATTCTCTTTTAGAATGAAACTTCAGGTTCGAAAAAGAGTATAGGACTATCAATAGAACCACCATCACCCACTGCTTTTATATCTAGGAACCCTATTGATATTATTACTTCTGGAGAATATAATCAAGTACCTCTAATAATTGGCTACAATAACAGGGAAGGTTAGTATTAATAAACATACATTTATAACAAAATATCACTAGTTTAAACCATAATACACTAAAAACACTTTACTTTTAATATAGAATGCGGGTTTCACTATAGCATATAGTCCAGGAAGCAGTGAAGATTTTCGGTAGTTATTTTTCCAGTCAGCAATCACCTATAGAATTATTCGGTGCCTTATTTTAAGTAAATTTCATATATACGTAGGGTTGGGGTGGAAAATATTTTCCACCCCAACCAATCGCGCTCATTTTTTCAGCGATAAAAAATAGCCTGGCTAATCTGTGAGAATGGGTAATAGCCTGTAATAGGGTGGATCGAAAAATCGAAGTTTTGAAAATCGTTTTGGAATACTACGCAAAAGTTGCCAATTGGTATTAGAAAACTAATATCTATTTATAGCTTTTCAATTTTTTTTCATCTTCTGCCCTCTATCGGACTTTAAATAAAGTAAAAAATACAAAAATATAAAGTTTTGATTTTTAGCCAAAATTTAAGGTAATAAGTAACTTTTGTAATTAGAAATAATATATCTTATTGAAATATGACATTTTAACCCCTCCTAATTCTCTATATAACTCAGTGTATCCTATGTACCAAGGTCAAACAATTTTTTTATAAATACCCAAATATTTACACACTTTAACAAAGAGTTAAAATGTGTCGAGCAGAGCCCTTAGAGCCGTTTTTCGTTTGTTTAACAATATTTTATGTATTCAGTATTGTTAAACAACCCAGAACTCACCACGGGGAGGTAACTGCTCGGTGAATTCCATCCCACCCTCCCTCATCCATTTATTTTTGCTCACTTACTGATTGTAATCTTTTTTTTCTCAAATTGTGGCATAAGTTTGCGCGAATTTATTTTTGTCTTTATAAAACTGTCTCTCTTTTGTATGCCTAGAACTGATATAGATGCTTCGGTTACAAGTTTTACGCATCTCTCTACTGATTGAGTGAGACATGCGACATGCTGATTGACATGTGACATGGAAATGCAGCGATGTCATAATTGTTTCAGAAGAACTAAAAATCATATTTTTCAAATCATCTACTTCTAAAGTTTGGAGCAATGGGGGACAAGTTATTTCATTTTTTTTGCCAGTCAATTAAATCAACATAGTCATCTGCGTCAAAATTAATTTGTGGGATGACAAAAGGTCGGATATTGCGTGAACGATTGTCTTGAGTTTTTGCATTTAGAATGCGGCGAAGTGCAAGCTCTCTTATATGGGGGCGAGTGTCATGCAGCAAACATATCAGAAGATTTTCGGGATGGAGAAAATAGACATTTCTTTGTATTACAGTCAAGCTTTTGAAAAAGTCGCCTAAAAGGTAACTCATTAGCGTGAAGCTGGCAGACCAATCTTTAAAGGGCGTCGTAGTTTTAATTCTAATTGAGAAATGGCACCATTTTTCTCTGTATTCATCACGGTTCCGTCACATCCTACTGCTACTAGTTCTTCTAGGTCATATTCATTACTTTCTAAGAAGTTCACAATACTTTAACAAATGCTTAGAGACGATCCAGAACTGGGAACTCTTTGACCCAAACATATAGAACCCGGCTCCTGAACTAAAGAAATATGTTCTTCAAGTACAGTTCTTCTGTGGGACTTGCCTTCAATATTTTCAATTACATAGATTTTATCTTTCCTTCCATCAAAATAAATGGCCTTCAAAGTTTCCGATGAGTTTTGCTTAAAACTGTGGCAGAAGTGATTTTATCAAAAAGTTGTAATATTACTTTTTTATTATTATAACCAAAGGTAACTTTTGGTAGGTATTCCAGATCGACTATTAAGAAAAAAAAATCTTTTTTTTTCAATTTTTAACAGCCGGTAGGGGGAAAATAAACTTTTTTATCAACATTACTAAAGGTAACTTTTGATAGGTATTCCAAATCGATTTTTCAAAAAAAAACATTTTTCATTTTTTAAGGGCTGGTAGAGGGCAGAAGTTGTGATTTTATTAAAAAGTTGTAGTAACACTTTTTTATCAACATTACCAAAGGCAACTTTTCGTAGGTATTCCAAGTCGATGTTTTAAAAATTTTAAAATTTTGAGATTTACGATCCACCCTAATGGGTAATATGTCTGGCAGGTTAAAAATTGGATAAAAAATTATTGAGAACATCGCCCTTATTTTCGCAGTCTTAAAAATTTGTCAGATGATAGTTCATATTATAATTATAGCTGCAAATATAGTCTGGCTCCTGTGGAACATCCCGAAGGCCTTGCCAAACTTTTCCAACGCTCGTCAAGCGCGCCAAATTGTTGTCATTGGCGAAATTTGACAATGGCCATAATCACAATCTCATAATAATACATATTCAATAATCATAATCTTTTCTCAACGTTTTGACCCCAGAAATCAAAAAAACAAGGTTTAGTCGGTCCGTCATTAAAAAACTTCATTCACCAATAACTTTGTAATTATTAGAGATATAAGAAAGTTGTATTAATATGTCAAATACTTGTGGTAGGAAATTTAATTCTTTACAAAATCGGTCTCTTGGTTTGGTTTGGTTTGGTTTGATTTGATTTTGACCTTATTTTGTATCTCCCTTAGTTTTTGAGTTATATAGCAATAAAAAATCTGGTCAAGGTGACTTGTACTAAACTTCTCATAATATGAATGTGTTTTGGTCTAAAGCAGTTTTTGGAATTATGAGTAATGTAAATAACTGATTTTACTATATTGAAAATCACGAAATTGCAGAGTGTCAAAATTTTCGCATCTAATAGTACAGTTGAACAAATATAGAAAGATACTTGGGGATAGCACCGGTCGCGTGTTATTTTTTATTTCTCACATCTCTAGCTATACTTGTTAAGTTGTACGAAATATATTAGATTTATCACCTAGATTTGTCAAATAATAAAGATCTACTTAAAAATATCTAGGAAAATCGTTGTTTAAAGGGTAGGCAACCTTAATAGTGTTTTGAAGATATATGAATTTTCCATTGAATATTGGAAATAATATACCGGATATTCTATTTAAAATAAAGGAGTAAATCGCTTTTAAATCTGACAAGTGTTGAATATTAATTTTGTCTCACCCTGTATAACTTTTCGGGTCAAATTTTAATTTGATTTAAAGTACAATAGTTATTTTAACTACTTAATACGCTATACTGGATAAATTATAATTTAGGTAGCGTTTATTAAAATTTTAAATTTGTTCTTCATTTTTATAAATTGTTAAATATGTCAAAAAGCTTACATTTTAGCCATATACTTTTCTAATGAAACTCGCCTTTATTTTTCTTCTAGAATCCGAAAATCAATTAATATATAGGGTGTTCCAGTACAAAAAAAAAATTTGATGTATAACTTTTTTTGGGGACACCCTGTAGTAATAGACCTACATATGCTTACATTTTATTCCAATACAAGTTGTACTTCTCTTTGCAGTCTCCGCGTCATATGAGAGGCTCTTGAGCCCTGTATATTAAATCGATATTATTTTTTTTTAATTTTCTAGGAATTCTCTTTAATGCCGAAAGAAAACAATATAATATAGAAGCAAAGCCAGAATATTTTGTACCACACAATGTCGATTTCTATGGCAATGAAACCGAGAGACAGTACTACCTGGACAAGATTCAGGAAAAATATTTATCGGGATCGAACGATGACGATAACGTTATTGACGTAAGTAGAACAATAAAAAACCTTTTTAATTTGGTATATTTTTATTTAAAATTTTTGGTTTTATTCTTACAAGACTTTTTCACACTACCTTCACACGAATGATTTTTATTGTTAACATATTCCAAATTGAGTTTTTATTCTACACTCCTCTTTTGTCATCTACTTCCATTTATTCTTCTTCTTCTTCCTGTGTCTTGTGCTTAGCCGCACGTTGGCGATTGTCTGTACTCTTCATACAATGTGTAGACTGCCGTTTTCGGCTCTTCGAAATATGGTGGCTGCGTCGCTGATGTTACACCAATCCCGTATGTTTCTTAGCCAGGAATGTTGTTTTCTTCCTGGGCCTCGCCGTCCCTCTATTTTTCCTTGTAGAATCAGCTTAGGAATGTAATATTTGTCTCCTCTAAGGATATGGCCGAGGTATGAGACTTTCCTTTCTTTAACTATATTAAGCATTTCTCGTTCATAGCCTGCAGTTTTTAAAACTTCTTCGTTGGTGGCATGTGCTGTCCATGGCACATGTAAGAGTCTCCGGAGAGTCCACATTTTGAAAGCCTCGATGCGGTTCAGGGTTCTAGCCTTGAAAGACCAGGTTTCTGCGCCGTATAGTAAGATAGGCCATATGTAGCATTTTACTACCCGTAGTCTAAGTGTTAGCGGGAGACTGCGTGCTAATAGGAAGTTTTTAAGTTTAAAAAATGTTGACTTTGCATAATTCGTTCTAAGTTTAACTTCCTCATCGCAGTCCCATCGTTCATTGATCATGGCACCCAGATATTTAGATCGTGGAACTCGTTCTATAATATTTCCATCCACGGTCAATGCGGTGTTGATTGTAGGCTGGCGTCCTATTACCATAAGTTTGGTCTTGGCAGCGTTGATTTTAAGACCGAAACGATTTCCCATGTCCCCTATATTATTTATTATTTGCTGGAGATCCACTAAAGTTGGTGCTAGTATTGCCGTATCATCTGCATATCTTATATTGTTAATTGGAACTCCGTTAATCTTAATTCTTCCACTTTCTTCTTCCAGGGCCATTTGAAATATCTTTTCGACGTATATATTAAAAAGTATTGGTGACAGTATACAGCCCTGGCGGACTCCTTGACACACATTGAAGGTGTCTGTTGATACATTTTTGTTAACTCTTATTTCCGCGGTTTGGTTCCAATACAGGAAAATTCCATTTATTGATATCAATTAAATATCTACACTACACGGTTGTTCACCACATACGACACGGAGGATTGTAGCTAAACGATTAGATTTTTACAAATTGTAAGTTTTGGGTTCGTTGAAGGACTATTACAGCGCTTTCAGATGAAGCGGACCGTCCGCGCGTACGCTCCGTCGTGTTTTTTCAAGATAGCCCTCGGACGAACTCCCTCGGACGGAGCATACGCACCCATGTGAAATTGTTCGTATAAACTCATGGTACACGACGGACGGTCCGCGCGGACGCTCCGCTTCATCTGAAAACGCTGTTAGAGCTACAATTTAAAAATATTTTTACAAAATACAGAGTGTCCCAAATAAGTAAAAAATATTATTACTTGTATTTTTTAAATGGAACAACCTGTATATTATTCTATTTTTAGATTTTTCGATTAAAATAAAGGCAAATTTGGTTAAGGTTTATCATACTTAAACCTTACCGTTTTTGAAATATTTTCAATTTTATGAAATTGCAGTAAAAATGTTAAGGCTTCATTTCTCCAAGGGTATCAAAGTTTTTAATACTAAATATTTACTGAAGATTATTTATTGATCAGATATTGTGTTGCAATAATAAAAATTCTAGTACCTTTTACGGAGTGTCCAAAAATTTATATTAAATAATTACTAGCTTTAAACGGGAATAACTTGAATTATATGCAGAATTTAATTGTCTATCAAATTGTATAATGCCATTTTTTACCCATCTCTTCAAGTTTTCGTAGAAAATGCTTTTTCTTATAATTTAGACCTCATTTATCACTATACCCATGGAATATTGACATTTTAGATTATTTTTAAAGATGTAACAAATTTTCAAAGAGTACAGATACTTTTATTGTCGATGTAGTTCGCTTATTTCATTAAAAAATAAAATAAAAAAACTATTTAATTATTTTTTGTTAAAGAGGACCAATTAATATGATCCCAGTATTCAAACTACATTAATTGACTATTTACGTTGATTAATAATAATTGCTCCAAAACTGAAAAACTGAATTTTGTGTGTATTAGACAGTGTGGTAAAAAGTAACACCTTATAAATTTTATTTAATTTTTTTGACGAATACTTATTTATAAAAACACGTTTATTTTCATAACTTATTATTATATTGATTTCTGAGTGCAAACAGTGCAAACACTTCTATGGACCCTATCAGCAATCTCTCGAAATGATAATCCTGCTTCCCGCAAACCCACAATCCGACCCCTATCAAAATCTCTGAATTGTCTAAAATTGGCACGTCTACGTATTCTGGGCATTATAATAAACTCACAAAAACACCTGAAACTACTCTGTAGCAGAATAAGTAACAAACTGTGCAAAAGCCGGGCTATATTGGATGATTGGAATTTTAACAAAAACATGTATAGCACAAAAACTAGTGTGTTGACGGCGTTCAAATTATAATCATTTCTGATCCATACAATAATAAACTTGCTTACAAACATTTATTAAAATTAAATAATATTTAGTGGGTGTTCTATTTTCAATGTCACTTAGTATATTTTTATAGGTCATGACGGATGCTTACTTTGTGGCTGGAATTATTGGAAGTGCCCAAAATCACGCACGTACCTCAGCTTCAAACGTCTATCTTTATAAACTATCACTGGACACCCAACTGAACTTTATGAAGATATATTACGGTCTCACTGAATTTTGGGGTAAGGATATTTGAAATTTTAATTTAAAAGAAAGAAATCTAAATTTTATAGAAACTTCTGTAAACATTTTTTCGGATATTGTATATCTGTATAGTTCATTAATTTTATTTAGAATCGACTAGATTCTAGTTATATAAAGTTCATACCAAATACACTTTTAGTCTCGTGATTATCTTGACAAGCACAGCGTTGTCCACTTTTATATATTTTCTTTTATTTAAAATATTTTAGGAAACAAAAATAAATGAATTATAAATACCGGGTGCGTCTCAAAAGTGGCTCACCACTATAACTTTTTTATTTTTTCAGTTATAAAAACGAGATTTGGTATGTTAGTAGCATTGATTGACATATTCAATTGTTTTCTGTCACTTCCTGTTTCACCGGAAATGAATACAACTTTTGATTTTTAAATGGCACCCTCGGTCAAGGATACTATAGAGATAAGGATAGTTCGATTCCTATGTTCCTGCACTATCAGTTTTTTTACGTCATCTACTGACCGAGTTGAAGTTGGCGCTAAATATTTTAGACAGTGACAGTTATTTTTGCATTTGACGGACGAGCGCACAGTGCGTTGGAAGATAAATTTAGCGGGACAAACGTGTTTGGTTAGAAATAAGCCAAAAAATGAGTACTGATAAGAATAAATAGTAGACATTCCAATTGATACAAAAATGCATGAATATTCTTTGTATTTCGATACATTTTTATCAACCAAATTTGGTCGTTTTCTGCTCAGCAAGGCAGAGATAATACGAAAACAAAATACTTACAAGTGCTTATACATTTTATTAGAAAGCCAAATTATGTCGAAGATTGCCAAAGGTATGTACTTTTCTACTGTACGTATATTATTTATTAAAAATCCTTCGTGCCTTTGTTCTGCAGATATCAAACTTTCACTTTTTTTTCAAATATCGATATATTGAATGATGTAGATCTTTTGAGTTACCAATAGTTACCAACACAGGTAGTCACAGTCACAGGGAGTTCAAGCTTAACAGGTGAATGCCCAAAAAGATTCATTTCAATCGGATAGTATAAAAACAAAACAACTCCATCAAAAGGCACTGAGTTTAAAAAATTGTCTTAGATACTTACTATATATGAATTTACAATTACCGAGTGTTAAAATTAAAATTAAAATATCTATCTTATTTATTATTTTTAAAATAAAATATATTTTTTTAAAATAAATTATAGAGGGTGTCACAAGATTACAAATTAATTAAAAAAAAACTGCTAAAGAGTTTTTTGATATCATAATTTTATGTATTTGGCAATAGTTTACAATACGGTTTTTGTGTGTCATGTACGAATAATATCATAGTTTTATTATCTTGTATTTATTTATTAATAAATTAAGTTGTTAATAAATAAATAAATTTAACCAAATAGTTGCTATATATTAGACCATTTGCTACGTTCTTAGATTTTAAGTCCCAAACATTGCTCTTGATATTTTGTCTCGCTAGAATAACCATCCGCCGCACTGTGGAACGCTGGTCAGCGCGTGACGTAGCATTCCACGGCGACTACGACAGCGGCGATTTGACGCGATCGAACAGTCCTTTAGAATATATACAGTCCTTGACCCTCGGTATTCTTTTACTTTATTCGACAGAAAATGACGCTCTGAATAGAATGACATATCATATGTAAACTTTTGACATTTTCGCATATGGTTTATTTGAAATTATAATTTGCGGTTCGTAACGAAAATTTGTCTCGAAATATCAAGAGATTCGTAAATCGTATCAAATTATTCGTAAAAAAATGCTTTTTCCAACTATGCTAATGCGCCACCCTCGTTCTATTTGAAAAAATTGAGATATGTTTAAAAATACGATTTGGCCATTTTCTAACTGGCCAGGACAAGACACTAAAAACATTAAAAGATCAAATCTATTTTTCCTACGGCTCGTTGACTAAGAATTAGTGTTTTTAACACAGCCATGGCACTCTAGATTGAATTTTAAAATTCAATTTTTTATTAAGCGATTTTATTAATTATTATTTAATTTTTTATCGAAGTAAAAAAATACCGAGGGTGCCATTTAAAAATCAAAAGTTGTAGCCGTTTCCGGTGAAACAGGAAGTGACCAAAAATAATTGAATACGTAAATCAATCCTAATTTATATCATATTCTAATATACCAAATCTCGTTTTAAAATCTTAAAAAATAAAAAAGTTATAGGGGTGAGCCACTTTTGAGACGCACCCGGTATATAAACAGTTATTATTTACATCAACAAAACTCACCTTCTTAACAGCACTTAAGGGGCATAAAGGGCCATTACAACCGCTTTCCCGTTCAAAATATTCTAATAAAGTTGCGATGAGTTTTTTACGGCTGTTAAGCTATCTTGTATACTTGGCAATAAAACAGGTTCCAAAAAGAACAATGTTCGACTGCAAGGTCTGCTAGTAAACATGTTTAAGCTTAAAGTACCACAACACTATTTATTTAAATCAAAAACTCAAATAATGAGTAAGTAAAACAAAACTGAAGTGTCAAAACGAATGACAATGTCAGGAAATAAACATAGAGAAACAATAATAGAATAAAAAAAAGAAATAAATAATAGGTATATAGAAAGACTGAAGAAGTATAGAATAGAAAGTTTGAAGCTTTTTGGTTTTAGTTCATTAAGTAATTTTTATCAGATATGTAATAATAATAATTGTTAGTTTGTAGGTTGACTTCATATAATGTCATTTTAACAACATTTTCAAAACTACATATTGAACAACAAATTTTGAGAATAATTTTCCGACCTAGTAGTTTCTTTTCTTTTATAACAAAATGTGTTTATTTTGCAGGAGCATCTCACGGTGACGACTTAGGATATTTGTTTAAAACCTTGTTGAACACAACTATCGAATCTGGCAGCGTAGAAGAAACTAGTTTGAGACGATTAGTTAAACTCTGGACCAATTTTGCCAAATATGACAATCCCACACCAGAACTTGAAGATGTTGGTATTACCTGGCCGGCTGTTAGTGCAGAACAGCTGAATACTTTACATATTGATGCTAATTTGACAGTAGAAGTCAATCCAGAAAGTGAAACGGTTGAGTTTTGGAAAGAGCTGTTCCAACAGAGTAACATAACCTCTGAATATTTACATTAAAAAAGACAAAAGTTTTATTTTGTTTGAATATTTCATATTGAATATACGTAATTAGAAATAATTCAATCTTTAACAACTTCGAAAATTGTATTTTCTTGTATTGATCTTATGTAATAAGATGAATAATAAAGATTATAACTTACATTGATGATCTGTTTTATTCTATAACAATATTCTTAAACAGATGACCCCCCAAAAAATATATGGTTATATAGATATGTCAGATCTTCAAACTTTTAAATATTAAAATATGTAGCACTTGTATTCTATGAATTTTCAATATGTATACTAATATATAAAATCCTTAAGTGACTGACATACTGATTAATCACGATCCTGCTCAAACCACTCAACATAAGAAGCTCAATTTTGGCATAGAGGTTGATTCTAGGGTGTAGAGGTTCGATAAGAAGGGATTTTTCGAAATTCCAGTTCCAAGAGGGTGAAACCACCTTTCAAATATTACAATATTTTTTATTTAAAAAACGGTCAAGTTTCCGAAAAAACGCTTAAGCACGTATATTTTATTTTGTTTTTTTACATATTTTAAGATTTTTTAAAAATGTATACAGGGTGTTTCGAAAAATCTGGTCATTGATTAATCACGATCCTGCTTAAAGCGCTTGACGTAAAAAGCTGATTTTGGAAAGCAAATTGACTTTAGGGTGTAGAGGTTCGATAAGAAGGGATTTTCGAAACTCGAATTCTAAGGGGTGAAACTATCCCTCAAATATTAAAATATTTTTTATTTAAAAACCGGTGAGTTTTTCGGAAAAACTCTTAAACACGTATATTTTATTTTGTTGTTTTACATATTTTAAGATTTTTTATAAATTTATACCTACAGGGTGTTTCATAAAATATGACCATTGAGTAATCACGATTCTGCTTAAACTGCTTGACGTTTAAAGCTGATTTTTGGCAAACGGATTGACTGTGGGGTGTAGAGGTTCGATAAGGAGGGGTTTCTCGAATCTCAATTTCCAAGAGGGTGAAAACGCCCGTCAAATATTACAATATTTGATATTTAAAAAACGGTTAGTCTTTCGGGAAAACGCTTGGACAAGCATAATTTATTTGGTTTTTTTACATATTTTGAAATTTTTTAAAAAGTCATACAGGGTGTTCCAAAAAATTGGGAAATTTCTTAACCACGATTCTGCTTAAACTGCTTGACGTAAAAAGCTTATTTTTGGCAAACGAATTTTTCGAAAGTCAAATTCCAACGAGATGAAACTACCGCTGAAATATTACTAAGTTATATAATAATATCGCCATATTGTTTTTTCTCATGCTGACATAAATGTGAGAAAATTTTATCCAGTTTGTATGTTAATGGAAATTCTTGCTTTGCTTTATCATCACCATGACAAATGATTAATACGACGCGAACGAAGTCGCTGGTACACGCTAGTTTATATTATATAAGGAAAGCCTATATAGGTGCTATTTTTTGTTGATACTACAATACTATCGTTTTACCCGATTTTCATAATTTTTTTATCAAACTGTATATGAACATATCAACTTTTTCATAAACTCAATTTTTTTTATAAACTTTAGTATTTGCCTATTATACATGTTTAATAGAAAGGTTGTTTTTTACCCTAAGTTTAAAACACCTTGTGCAATAATTTCATGAGTAATAATAATAGCTCCCGTATATAGCGTTTAATGCCTTGGGAGTAGCAAGGTACAGCTTGCCATACTAGAGCCGTTCGGTATACAAGGAAGGTAATGTAGCTAGCACTACGCTTCAACCGCCTATTATTACCTCAGGATTGTGAAATCCCAAGTACTCATTTAAGGCTGAGTCGACCTAGGTACCCAAACTATTTTTATTTTAATAAAAATAGTCGGCTGATGAAATGCCGGGTGTGGGATTCGAACCCACTACCTTGAGATTGGTAGACGAGAGCCTGTACCTCTACGCCACCGGGCACCTTTAATTTCATGAGTAACTTTTCCTAAAATATTATTTTTCAATCCATGTCTCCTGAGCATTTTCTTTTTTGACTCATGTCAACACATGCCTTGGTTAATTTTTAACAGCGAAATGAACTTGCCACCAACAGTTTGCAATTTTTTCAACTATCAATATTTTTGATATTATTTTTAACATCACGAGGTGAATTTGGTAACTATTGACACCGATTGGAACTCCTTATTAAAATTTAAAAAACCTTAAAAAGTAAATAAAATAAATGCCTTTATTGTCAAAAAATTTTACAATTTGTAGACAAAGGTAAAGTAAACAAACAAAGTAAACAAACAAGGTATACAAATAAACAAACAAAAGATAATACAAAACATTATACAAATAATATTGTCAGTCTTATTATTATTAATAAGTAAAGATAAGGCTTGGTTTTAATAAATATTAGTAACATTAACAACCCCCCCCCCTTTATGTACTTAAACTCAGTGGCGGCTCGTTGTTATTATTGTACGGAGGTCAATATCTAAAAATATTGCGTCGATTTTTTTTAAGATGCGACCAAATTGAATTGGTTTCTTACAAGGTACTTGTACGTTTAGTTAAAGGAAAATAAATCTAAAAATAAATACAAGTTATGTTAAAATGAAATCTACCTAACCTAATTTACACAAATTTTCCACGGTAGGATTTAAAAGACACTTAAATAATAATGTCACAAAAATATAAATACATATATACACATACACATTTCTAAAAGTTTTATTTCACATTTGTTTATATTTTAAGTCAATTCTTTCTATAAACGTTTTTCGAAATTTAAGCAATTGTTTTCTTTTAACCTCACGATTTTATAAACTAAACACCATAATATGTTGTCTATTTGAAAATATCTATTCCAGAATCAGTCAACAAGAGTTCATCATTTATCCAGAACCAGAAAATTATGAATTATTACCTACACAAATTTCTAAATAAATTTGAGTTTTTATAAACACCCAACCTGCCCAAACGGCGAAATTTTTCCAGCGAAATGACTGAAATCCTGTAATATATTTATATACCTACAAATAATAATGGACTCGATATTTTTTTATCAACTATATTGATTCTCAACTAATAAACAATATTACAAATTACAATAATAACACGCTGGTTTCTAGACAAAGATAAAAAAACCGACACATTTTATGTCGTCTGTGAGTAAACTACCAAATACAAATCTATATAAAGTTGCCTACCTTACAAATCCTTTTATGAATGACGCGGTCAATGGCCAGTATAAACTATATCTATCGCACCCTTAACCCATTATATTTTCTATACGTAGTATACCTTACCTTCCCAAGCAACACAGATAGTTCCAAATCCCTTAGGTTTAAGACTGGCTACGAAAACATAGTTGCTGGGTGCACCCTGTTACCTAATTTGTCACTATATCCGGTAATACTCCTGCAAAGTATTTTTGGATAGTATCTGTTACCACCCTGTTACTAGTCATTTGGAATTTAAACACCCAAAATTAAGGTAGCAAATGGGTTGTTGCGTCTAGTAACTGGGACTACGCAAATCCTTTCATTGTTACCACTAAGTGGCAAAATCTACATAGTGACAATAAATACGGATCGGCTACCAGCCTGTGCTACTAAAATGGGTGTATGACGTACTTGTTACTATATAGTCCCATGCTTAGTCGCAGAATAGTCGCAGTACCCTATATTTTGGGTCTTAACGTTACGAGGCATTTGGGTACTAATTGTTGGTCCCAAAATAGTAGCTGCGACTATGGTTTGTTAGTATAAAGTAACGGGTACAATACTCCTATTGACGTCTTGCTACTATAAAGTTGTGGAAACTAAAAAATATTTCTTTAAAGTAGCAGATCGCGTATTTACCCATCCTGTCCGTTACCACAAGAATAAAGATCAATAAAACTGTTTGTTCACTGCGCTGCTAGTGGAACTTCCTAGATAAGTTCACCAGGATAAAGGGTTTATTGGATTAAATTTAGAGAAGTATGACTGGGCTTTGATATGACAATAAATGATTTTAAATTTATTTTTGAAAATTCATATACATATTATTATGTATAATTGTCGTATTTTCTATATATTTGTAAAGTTCTTATAGCTGCATTTTTCTAGGAATGTCGAGTTGGTGACTACTGATGAATTTAAAGATAAAACAAAGCTCAGAGAAGAAAGTAACATAAGTCAGGAACTAAGGCATTGGCCATTAAAACACCAAATTAGCCACATTACTTTAACAGATTTACTTGGTATACTAAAAAATAAAGGCTGAACATCATTGCCAGGAAACAGCAGGACTTTATTGAGTACACTGAGATATTGTGCCATTGTTCCAATGGGAAATGGAGAATTTTGGTACTATGGAATAAGGAAGATTTTAGTAGCACGTTTATCCGAAGAGACCAACCGCAATGGGTGTCTCTAATTTTTAATGTTGACGGCTTGCCTCCATTTAAGAGTTCCCCATTAGAATTTTGGCCGATACTCCTAAAAATGCATGAATATCCTTGCGATCAACCCATGGTGGCAGCTATTAATTGTGGCGAGTCAAAAGCTCCATTACAAGAATTTTTACATGAACGTACATTTTGTAACAGAATTAAATGAGATTTTGGAGACTGGAATTGAAGTAAATCAGATTAGGGCGAAAGTAAAAATTCGATTTTCTCATTCATCATTTTTTTTATTCAATTGTTTTTGGTCACTTCATGTTTCACCGGAAAAGACAATTTTTGATTGTTAAATGGCACCCTCAATATTTTTTTGCTTAGTTCAATAGAAAATGACACTCTGAATAGAATGACATATCATAATACGACATTTTCTCATATGGTTTATTTGAAATTGTAACATCGGTTCTTAACGGAAATTTGACTCGAAATATCAAGTGTATGGTACCAAATTATTCGTAAAAATGCTTTTTTCAAATATGATAATAAGTCATCCTCGTTCCATTTGAAAAAATTGAGATATGATTAAAAACACAATTTAGGCATCTTTTAACCAGTCAGGACAAGACACGAAACACATTAAACGATCAAATATATTTTTCCAAGGCTCCTAGATAAAAAATTAGTGTTCTTATATAGTTTTGAGATGAGAGGTAGGCGGAACTTTATAGAAACATATGGAACTATATTGTCACAAAATGCCTGATTGTCCGACTTTTTGGCTGTTCAAAGTAACTTTCTAGTTCCAGTAGTTACCATAGTGTACAAAATTTAAATACATTTAAGAATAACAAAGTTCCGAAGTAGTAGCCGATACTACAAAGTAACTTTTGAGTAGTAACAACTTAATCACTGGAAGTAGCGGATCTTTTAAAGTAAAAAATGCGTAGTCCCTGCTACTTCATAGGGAAGACCCTAACTTTATCGTAGCGAAGTGTGCGTCAGCCATTTTTTAATGTCAGACATTTTTTAATTAAATTTATTTGTTAATATATTTTCATTTTTTCTTTATTTTCCCAAGTTTTATAGTGCTTTAAGCATTTATTTTTCCAATTAGAACTCGAATACACTTTCGTTCATTGCGAAATATTATTTTTAATATTTTTGATATTATTTTTTGTTCCGAAATATCTACAAAATTGAATTAATTCGAAGGCGCGTTAAAATATTTCCATCTAACTCGGTAATATTTGTCAGTAAAGTGACGTGCGTTATTATATTAGTCCTGGAAGTGTCCGAAATACGCGATTCAAAACCATCATTTTCCTCATAAACATAACACGCCATTATTAACTTAATTTTAACATGGCCATGCACCGCGGCTGTCATATCATATTATTATTTTATTTTAAAACGTTTTTTAAAAGTAGAGGTCGCTAGAAGAATGTTTTGCTACTATATAGTAGCAGTTACCACGCGGCTACGTAGGGGCGACCAGGCCGCTACGTAGCAGGATAGTGGCCGCTACTACCCTTTCACTTTATAGTTACGAAATATAGTGGCAGCGTTAGTCCTGGGACCACCCGGTATTCTACCCCGTTACCCTAAATTCTTCCCCATTTTAGTAACAGTTACGTGGCGGCAACGTAGCCGTCGATAGTGGCAGTCTACTTGATGGACGCTTTTGTAGTCCCAGGAACGTACCTGCTACTATCTGTGTTGCTTGGGTTGTTGGCGTCACGAGCCGCGGCACTTGGAGTTTAATACGTGTAAACATAGCGGGAACGAAGGACAAAATGAAATTTTGACCGGCAGTAGATAAAACGGGTAAAATAATGTTTTCAAGCAAAAATTGGATAAATTGGGAATAGTTTTGAATATTTTAGGATGAAAAGAATTGATTTACAAAAAGTATAATTTAAATAAGTTTTTCTAATTTTCTCCTGATTTTTTTGGGGGGCATTGACAATTTGACCTCATGATTAAGCCGTCACTGCTTAAACTACAATACACCACAAATCATATTTTAATTACTTTTGATGTATATTTTACTAAAAATATCAGCATTACTATCAAATGAATGTTAATATGAATATTGTGTGTCTATAATGATCTGATCTGTTGTGATTGGTGAAAAATAAGTTCTCTATCATAAAAAAATCTATTATTACTAATTATTAAATAGATCATTTGCCACGATCTCACCAGTTCTTCACAAACTATTCTAGAAAGAGTTCCAAACAGATTTTATGGTTGATATTATAATAAAATACTCGAATATTTGTATTTTTTTACTCAGGCATGTCATTGGTTTAAAAATGTCTGAGTGTATTATTGCTTTCTGACGTGATATTTTTAAATTAGTCTCAGTTGTGTTATGTATTTGTTGTTGTTTGCTGTGTTTATTGCTGTCTAACATTTTATTTGTTTGAAATTGTCAGGATTTATTATTGTGTTCTGACATCATTCTGACATGATACTTATGAATTATTGGTTTCACTGCAATATTGTTGTGTGACATTGTTTAATTTCTTTGAATATAATATCTTCTTTATGTCTCATTACTCTCAAGTATTTTAATTATTTTCAATTAGCTAGAGACTTTGTACTTCCGCAAAAAGTATTGAGAGATAAGATGATTAGATATAAGTATATGTTTATAAAAATACCAAAATTAAATGTTATAGTTAGATGGTCGTAGATAGCTCAGTACAGAAAGGGTAATAAACATGTCTAAATATCTGTTGATTAGCATTTTCTTCATTCTAATGAAATTGACAATCGGAGGCCCTACAGTGACCATTCCTCAAGGAACTTTGGAAGGCAATAGAGCGCAAGACATTGATGGAAACCAATTTTTCAGATTTTTAGGGATTCCATACGCCAAGCCACCATTAGGAGATCTCAGATTTAGAGTAAGATTAAAATATATTCTAAATAAATGAAATGAAATCAATGATACTGAAATTAACTATTTTTAAGGAACCTGAATCGGCAGAGTCTTGGAGTGGAGTAAGAAATGCAACTGTGGAAGGGAGTTCTTGCGTGCAACTAAGTGGAGGTTCCGAGGATTGTTTGTATCTGAATGTTTATACCAGAGATGTAAGTTTAATTTTACGTATAAGAGTTTGATTGGATTTTGTATTTTACATATTACTGTTTTGCAAAAATACCTTTTTTTATTATTTAGATTTTTCACTAATTGGAGAAAAACACAGATTCTTTATATATCAAATTTAAATTATTACGCTATATTAGGTTTTCTACTTGCAAGAATTTTCAAACATAGCAATACTTTTCAAGCCACTTTGTATTAGAGGACTAAGTGGTTTGGTTTGATTTGGTTCTAAAACCCCTATAAAAAACATTATCTATGAAAAAATGTAATATTATATTACTTAAAAAAATGCTTTTTGAAATTAAGATAAAAATAACAAAAAATAGGTTCTGAAAGTAACAAAGCATCCAATAAACTACCAATTCAAAGATAAGTTAATATTTATATTTAAAATATGGTATCTGACACAATTCGTCAAAATAACGCTCTTTTTATTGTTCTTTTCAAACATCGCGTTTTGTAAGATAACTCTACATATTTTTTAACAGCTACCGGAAAATTCAACTGAACTCAAGCCAGTGATGGTATGGATCCACGGAGGCTCCTTCACATCGGGTTCTGGTTCTCCTACAATCTACGGTCCAGAATTCATTCTAACCGAAGATGTAGTAGTTGTTTCCATCAATTACAGATTAGGACTTCTCGGTACATATTTTATTTACAACGCTTTTAATTGTTGATATTTTTATTTACGTTTTCAGGGTTTATTAGAAATCCTGATAATGTGACAATATTTGGTGAAAGTGCTGGTTCGGTATCAGTTCACTATCATGTACTTTCTCCTTTATCGAAGTAAGAAATCATTAGTTTGAATGTTTAAATGAGGATAATATCTATGCAGATTTTTTCATACATTTTTATTTCTGTATATTTCAATGCCTCAAATCACTAAGTTTAGAATTCACTACATTACTACAATATCTGAGTATATCTTCTTCTTTTATAAACGGTTTATTACATGCGGAAATGTGTTGGTACACGGACGGATTCAAGACCGAAAAAGGATCTGATGCAGGAATTTACTGCAAGACTGACATCTACAACAGTCTTGGAAAACACACATATGTCAATCTTTTAAGTCTGACTAAGTTGTTTCGCACACAGTATTTTTCGTTACTTTCTGTGGTCATATTGAAATATGTTGTAGCTATAAAAAATAGATATTATACATAGACTGCAATGTTATACATAGGTTGTGCAAAATTATATCCTATGATCGAAAAAAAACGGCGGCGGCGTCCAGTTGACTTGAAAATGAACATCAATGACAGTCCCCATATAAATTGATATATAAAATGACAGCGATTTTTAGGGTTCCGTATCCAAAGGGTAAAAATGGAAACCCTATTACTAAGACTTCGCTGTCCGTCCGTCTGTCACGAAGGTCTATCTTATGCACCGTTATAGCTAGACAGTTGAAATTTTTACAGATAATATATCTATGTTGCCGCTATAAGAACAAATACTAAAAACAGAATTAAATAAATGTTTATAAATAAAAAAGTACTTTCACTAAACATTATCTTTTAAGTAAGAATTTTACATAGAATCTTTCCTCGGTTTTACATAGAAGAAGTCCTCGGTGGCCGCGTAGTTTAAAGCGTTAGGACTGTGGTTGGGACTTTACACTGCTATGACGTTGGAGCCGTAGGAAGGCAGGTTCGAATCCTAGTCAAGGCGGCTTTTTTTTAATCGTTTTTTTTTATTTTTACATATGTATTTTTACTTTTTACATATTTATTATTGATTAAGACAATTTTAGTAATGTGTTTCTTCATTTTTTTTTAAATTACTTATACGCGCATTCAAAATTTCAGCTAAATCGGAAAAACAGTTTATAATAATATAGTGTCTAATGTTGAATAGATAATGAATGGTACTGAACCCTTGGTGCGCGAGTCCGACTGGCACTTGACCAATTTTTTTTTCGATCATATTGTATATTGATATATACCTTAGGTAGGTATTGGAAATATGTATTTTATGTATTTTATACACATAAACTTTCACAAATTTGGATTCTTTTTTCTTTTATATTAATTATAATCCAGTTTTAAGGCAAATATTACTTACAGGGGATTATTCCAGAATGCAATTTTACAAAGTGGAGCTGCATTGGACAGTAGGGCTGACGGTTCTGACCATGATACTATAGCTTTAGCCCAATTGTTATACCCACTAAGAACAATAACATCAGAAAGTGAAGCTCTCGATATATTTCAACAACTATCTGCCAGTTCTATACTTATCGCACAAACTTTATTGCTTTTGGTAAGATTTTTATACAAGTCCCACTCTTTTGTCAAGATGCAGTGAACCACAGACAACCTAAACAGACGCGACAAACAATGCAAATGTGAAAATTACATTTTGGCGAATGCGCCAAGCTAATTTTTCCGTTAGATTTATCATATAGGCGAATTTTACAGCGGACCAGCAAAGTAACCTCCATTCGTTTCCTAAGAAGCCACGCCTCCTTTGTGAAGAAAAGATAGGGAATTTTGTATTTCAGAATCAAATAGAGATGACTTTAATTTCATTAGTTTTTTTTTCAATTTTTGATTCATTAGTTTTTTTTCAAAATTTGAACAATCACAATAATTAATAATAATTAAAAAGCTTAAACCAAACCAAACCAAACCAAATCAAATATTTTGATGCTATGCGGTAGTTTCGCTACTACATAATAGAGGGCGATAAATTTAAAAGAAAACAGTTTTCTACAAACGAAATTTAAAAGGATTTTATGCAGTGTTGCCATTGTGTAATTCATATTGTAATACTTCCTGATAAAGCTTACAGCTTAGCTTAAATTTGCTACATCATTTAAACGTATTAATATAGATCAGAGCTCTTTTTTCAAACGTGCCATGTTAGTTGGAGCCAAATCTTACGAGCTGAATTACAATCACTTTGTAACGTTTGATTGTAATTGAATTTCCTGGCGTTCGATTGGACTTATACTTGGTATAGTAAGTATCTTCGGTGACATTGTAATATGAGGGTACTATGATACATATAAAGTGGTACCTTAATATAGTACCATATTACGATACCACTTCCTGACGTTCGATTGGGCTCATATATTTGATTATACTTGCGTATTTTTGATGACATTGCAATATTATGGTACCATGAAGCATATCAAGGGGTACCACAATGTAGTACCATATTACGATACCATTTCCTGGCGTTCGATTGGTCTTAAACTTTGTATACTACGTGTGTTCGGTGACACTGTAATATGATGGTACTTTGATGCATATAAAGTGGTACCTTCTATAGTACCATATTATGATACCACTTCCTGACGTTCGATTGGACTTATATTTGATTATACTTGCGTATTTTTTGACATTGCAATATTATGGTACCATGAAGAATATCAAGGGGTATCACAATGTAGTACCATATTACGATACCATTTCCTTTCGTTCGATTGGGCTTAAACTTTGTATGCTACGTATGTTTGGTAGTACCATATTATGATACCACTTCCTGACGTTCGATTGGACTTATATTTGATTATACTTGCGTATTTTTTGACATTGCAATATTATGGTACCATGAAGCATATCAGGGGTTACCACAATGTAGTACTAAATTACGATACCATTTCCTGGCGTTCGATTGGTCTTAAATTTTGTATACTACATGTGACCGGTGACATCGTAATGATCGGTGACAATGTACTTTGATGCATATAAAGTGGTAACTTCTATAGTACCATATTATGATACCACTTCCTGACGTTCGATTGGACTCATTTGATTATACTTGCATATTTTTTATGACATTGCAATATTATGGTACCATGAAGCATATCAAGGGGTACCACAATGTAGTACCATATTACGATACCATTTCCTTTCGTTCGATTGGGCTTAAAGTTTGTATGCTAGGTATGTTCGGTGACACTGTAATATGATGGTACTATAATATATATAAAGTGGTACCTTCTATATAGTACCATATTATGATACCATTTCCTGACGTTCGATTGGGCTCGCTCATATTTGATTATACTTGCGTATTTTTGATGACATTGCAATATTATGGTACCATGAAGCCAAGAAGTACCATAATGTAGTACCATATTACGATACCATTTCCTGGCGTTCGATTGGGTTTAAACTTGGTATATACTACGTATCTTCGATGACATTGTAATATGATGGTACTATGATGCATATAAAGTGGTACCTACCTATAGTACCATATTACGATACCATTTCCTGGCGTTCGATTGTGCTTTAATTTGGTATACTACGGATCTTCGGTGACATTGCAATATTATGAAGCATATCGAGTGGTACCATAATAGAGTACAATATTATGATATCATTTCCTGTAGTTCGATTGGGCCAAAATTTGGTATACTTGCGTTTCTTTATAAAGATTTGTTTAATTAATAATTATAATTTATTTTAGGAATTTTAATTTATTGTACGATGTCGTGACAGCAACTTTTATGCCGAACTAATATTAATTATTGTACCTGTGTCACTTTTTAAAATCTATCTAGGTAGGTCTATATAAATAACGTGGTAAAAACAGAAGAAATTTGTTATTATAGTATTTTTTTAGTCAATTAACATTTTTTATACTGTATTTTAATAAATTATTTCCATTATTATTAAACGTATATTTCATTACTAACGTTTCAGCATTAATAAATATCACTATCAATCGCCCTGTATATTATTAATTTTAAAGGTAATTAAAGTTATTTTCTTAGTTAACATTTAAAACTATTTTAAAAGCCAAACAAATAATTAATATAAGTGTATCTGACAAGAAACGAAGAATAGAAAGAAATTATTATACACCAGAAAAAGAATGGGATGTCAATTAAAGTCTTTTTGAATTTGGCAACTGTGCATATTTAGCCGAGCTTCAAGGTTGGTCAAGGCCGTCGACGTGCCGTCGATCCAAAACCGAAAATTGAAAATTTCCAATTATATTCTGATTATGATATTGTCGCGCCATCTAGTATTTTATTTGTGCAATTTTAGCTCTTTCATTTCGAGTATTTTTCTGTTGCGTAGCTAGATATTCTGTGATCAAAGGCAAGGTTAAAGGCGAGAAAGAACGAAAGAAATGGAAGCTTAGGCACAGGCTTAGGGAAGGGAGGAGTGCGGGAACGATTTGAAATCACCTAAGGAAATCACCACGACTGTTTGTTTGGTTGAATATTTCGCCTTCATCGACGGTATCGCCGCCCTGGCGTTGCACTTCCGAACATGGGTCTTTTTGAATACAAAATTTCCTATAAGGTGTCGCATCTGTTTAAGTTAGATTGTGAGTGAACAAAATTTTCATAGCCCTCTTCGTTTCTGAGCTACAGGGTCTTTTTGAAAATTGTGCAATTTCGGACACCTCCTGTATCTCTGTTATTGTTAAAGGTATCTCTCAGGTGAAAACTGTTTATTGTAGAACTTTTTACGTAGAATACAATGGCGTAGTCTGTTATTCTACTAAAATAATATTTTTAAAGATATAAACTAAAGTTATGTTTTCTTAAATGGAACACCCTGTATATTTATAAATTATATAATCTGGCTTGTTCTAAGCTTCTCAAAAATATATATCACTCTATATTTATCTTCATTATTTACTGCAATATTTAAAAACTTTTATTATAATATCATATTTATTAGTAGGACATGATTGATAATAAAAGAAACTAAAGAATTATTAAAAGTATACTGCTATCTGTCTCTTGTTTTAATTTAGGAGCCAGTAATAAATTCTTTATATTTATTAGGGAAACTTAACTCTCTACCGCTATTTGTAAATCCTGGAAGCTTTTAGTTTTACCTTTTTTTAATCATACCGGAACTTTTAGATATTTCTTTAGCCTTGAATTTACTTGAAATATACAGTCAGCAAGATGGGGCTCCCCCTCACAACTTTGAAAATATTAGAATTTTGTTAAATAATTATTTCTCAAATCAATGAATTGGAACAAATGGATCCATTTGATGACCTCCCTGATTCCGGGATTTCTGATTTTGGGGATTTTTGAAATATAAAATAGATCGTGGCAACTACAACAATTTCGAACACTTGGAAAATGCTTTAATAATGCAATCTTTTAGATATTTTTTGTAAACCCATCCCGTTATAAAAAAGAGAAAAATGTATTCAGAGATTCAATGGCAACAGTTCAAAAGTAAAATATGTCAATCCCAAATAAAATTTGAATACGTGTATGACTATTTTAGTAAATATCATTTTGATTTTTTTGTTATTTATCACGGCCCACTAATAAAAAAAATGATATATTTTAAATATTGCAGTAAATAGTGAAATAAGTTTAGAGTGATATATATCTTTGAGAAGCTCATAGTAGAAAGCGGATCATATGATTTATAAATATACAGGGTGTTCCATTAAAAAAAAATAACTTTAGTTTATATTTTCAAATATATTTTTTCCGTAGAAATACGCCACTGTATTCTACGTAAAAAGTTCTACAAGAATCAGTTTTCATCTTCTCGATATCATCCATAATAACGGAGATACGGGGGCTGTGCCAAATTGCAAATTTTTCGAAAAGACCCTGTAGCCCAGAAACAAAGAGGGCTATGAAAATTTTGTTTACAGCATCTTTCGTTTGGCAAAAAATTGAGATAGGTTTGTGTAAACCGCATCCTCCTATCTTTACTAATAACGGAGATACCGTATGATTTGAACGAAAATGGGACACCCTGTACAATAAATTGTTTATTTTATTTTTATTCAATAATTCAATTAATTTCAAGCAATTCAAAAACCACTTGTATTTTAGAATGAAACTTTTGGTTCGACGAAGAGTCTCGGATTATCAATAGAACCACAATCACCCACTACTTTTATATCTAAGAGCCCCATCGAGATTATTACTTCTGGAGAATACAATCAAGTACCGTTAATAATTGGTTACAATAACAGGGAAGGTTAGTGAAAGTAATAAACATAATACACTGTCTACAGGAAAATAACACTGGTTTACTACAGTAAACCAAAACATTTTACTTAAAAACTAAAAATTACCACATGATCGAAAAAAAGGCGCCCAGTTAACATGAAATGACGATCGATAGTTTTGTTTCATGTTAATAATAGTCTGAACTTGAGCACAAAAACGTTTAAAAATTTGCGAAAACCAAATTCAAGCAGAATTTCGCTCAGGTCACACATGCCGACATGCTTACAGAAATCGGGTTAGCCTGTGCAAAAGAACTGAGAGTCTGTGTAGGGCTTTAACACTGTGATGTTTAAATTATTTTGCTACACTGTCATGCATAAAAAATTACTAGCTTTTTCCCGCGACTACGTTCGCGTTACACCTCGAATCGTTCATGCATGATTTAAATGATTGTTTACTTCTTTATAGATAGAGGTAGTGAGCCTGACAAATGCACTACTTAAACTATGTTTTTAAGTTTTAGAGCTACTCGTATTTCACATGAAAGTTAGAAGTCGTCGATTTTCTGGGTATTATACAGGGCGAGTCTTGAATAAGTGCAAATATTTTCAAGGCTGGTAGATCTCGATAAAAAAACATATTTTCTCTTTACTGTTTTAAGTCCAAAATAACCGAGTTATTTTACTTTAAAAATTTAAAAAAAAAATATTTTTTGTTTAATTTTTTTAACTACTGGAGCTTTTCGGCCTTTTCTGTCTGGTAAATGTAATCCACTACCTATGTTGCCATATTATCAAGAAATTGTGGTTGTTAACTAAAAACTAAAAAAAATCCAAAAGGATTTTTAAAAAAAATATTTAATTTTACTGTCTAAGAGGATGAATTTCCTAAAATCGCTTTGTGCAGCTAATATGCTAATGTTTAAACGAACCTTTGTGCTAATATTTATGTATCTAAAGCTGGTGGTATGAGCTTATCCCTAAAATATCTAAATATTTAAAAACTTGATATATAACACAAAACATCCCCCTTTAGAACTTCGTCTGTCATGTTAAGAAATAAAAGTAAATAATAAAGCGCCTCTCGTGTTTGTTCGCACTCAAAAAATTTCAATTATGCCTGTATATATTTTTAATATATTTTTTAAATTTACATTTTTTAATTGTAAAGTAATATATTACATTTAAATGGAATATATTACATAACAATTATGTTAATTGCAGGATTACAAGCTTGTTTTCTAACATTTTTTAAATAAAACGAATTATAAAATTTCAATATATGTATATTTGTCGTAGGTATGAAAAAAGTAAAATATAAAATGGACAAACGCTTACTTACATTGCAATAAAACTTCCACTTTTAGTTTTGCAATCTAAACGCAATATTTCTATTTCACAAATAAAAATATCCGACAACACTAAAATCACTGAAACTTCCGCAGCTGACAACGAAAACTGAAAAATATAACGGCACTTTTTGTTTTGGACCTGCATATCAACATTACGCTGTACTATTATGTGTTTATTGTTGAAATAATATAAAATATCTAAATATAACTTGTAAATTTTAATAGTTTAACATGATTTTAACTACTTTTGACAATAACATTTTGTTATCAAGATGACATTTTAGACGGCAACTGACATATATGTCATAATATTTGAATCTTAAATATGTATGTAATATAATTTAAATTACTATAATGCAACTTTATACTAAGAAAACATTTATATATTCACAAAAACAACAAAAAAGTGTAATAATATAGTTTGAAAACAATGAATATTTAATTAAAATTGAAAAAGTTAAGCGCGACCCCTTGTGTCAAAATTAGATGATTAAATTTTCGCAAGTTTTACACCATTTGATGACCGGTGGCGCCTCTAGTGTTTGTTCGGGCAGTTGGGCTTTTACTCCCGCTTATGGCCATTAAAGAAAAAGTTCTAAAGGGGGATGTTTTGTGATATATAATCTAACTGACACTCCACTGACAATGACAAATAATTTATTTCTGGAGGTATTGTGTGAAGGTGTTTTTCAGGTATGTTTTTGATATTTAGTCATTTTACACAAAGAAATAGCCATTAAACAATATAAAAATACTTCATAACAAATCTAGACATATATACCTTTCATTTAAAAAAAGAATCATCAGGATTGGTGAAGCGGTTTCGGCGGGATGGATGTAACAAAAAAAAACCTTAGAGCTTTTATGTATGGATATGGATATATGGATATGGATGGATTTTGCATTGTTCAATATTCACCTTATGAGAGATTTTAGTTGAAAAAGAAGAAAACTGTTATATTTTCTTTTTAAATCAAGGGAGTACATTTTAAAGTAGATTGAGATAATAGTCCTTACTGTTTTACTGATGACGATTTTTAATAATAATTTCAGTAATGAAATTAGATAATACGTACCGTATAATATTTCTTTTTATCAACTAGCTAACAAATTGACCTAAGCATCTTGAACTCCAATCGATTTGACAGCTGTTTTCTTTTTATTTGGTCTTCATATTTGATTTACATTTCAATTTAAAGTATTTTCTATATATTTCAATATCTTTCTAGATTTGAATACGTTATTTTCCAATTATTTTCCTTTGAGTTTCTATTATAATGTTTAGTATGTCAATTATTTGCAGTGAACATCAATTAATATAAATAAGATATCAGCGTGCCTGGGGTAAGCTGTCAATTGTGAAGAATGACGAAGTGCTTTAATAGATATTTACGATACAAGCGAGTTAACAGCATCATTAAGCGGCCCATACATTATCAAACAAATTGCGCAACAAAGCGATGCGCAACGTTGCGTTGCAGAACTGATTCAGCGATCCATACATTATCAAACAAGTTGCGCAACAAAGCGATGCGCAACGTTCCGTTGCACAACTGCATCACCCTTGCACTTAGTAAAATTTTGATCAAACTTTTTATTAACAGTTGTGCATTGTTTGAGAAACAATCATGTCCTCAATTGCCATTGCATGAATTATTATCGTATATACCCTAGATAATGTCAATGATACCAAAAAACAAAAAAAGAAAACAAAGAATTTGGATGAAAGAACTAAAAGAACTAAAATATTGCACAACGAAGCGCAACACACATACATACACTACACAACGCGCTGCGCAAACGCCTGTTGCACAAAATAATTCCAACATTCTTGAAACTTACCAAACAATTGCGCAACGCATCAAACGTTACCATACATTGGCAACTCGTTGCGCAACAGCCTGTGTTGTGCAATTTGTTTGATAATGTATGGGCCGCTATAAGATACGCGTGTGAAAGTTAATAGTAGGTAGCACGAGTTGTGTAACCACACAAGTATCTTAATGGAGTTAACTCGCGAGTGTTGTACAATATTTTATCTACTAGTCTAACTATAAAAACACACAATGAATTTTAAAAATTATTGTACTTAACTACATAATATATACCTATCCTAAAAATCAATTACCTTAATACCTATGCTTAATACCTTTGTTCAAATAACACCATGCATGGCAATGTCAATATGACAGTAAATAATATTGATGTCACTAGTTTAAAAAATGAGCGATTCGGAAAGTATTCCCTCTGACATTGAAGAAGGGGCATTCAGAGCCATTTCTGGATTGCTTCCAGCAAGATCGAAACAGAAGTATGAATATACATACTCAAGTATGAAAAATGGTGCACCGAAAAAAAAGTACACAACTATGGAAATGAAAAGGTACTCATAACATATTTTTCCAATTTAGTGCAAAATAAATGTTTTACAAAATATTTTTTTCTCTTTGGTAGTCATCTAAACAAGGAGTGCGGTAATGAAAATGCCTGAGTTAAGAGTTGCTTAACTCACTGACGGTAGTTAAAATATTAATTACTATATCTTTTTTCGGTGACTCTTTTTTTCAGTATCTTAATAGTTGTTCTGCTATAGGGCGGAGACAAATCCAACACACAAAATTAGAGAGCATTAAAGCGGTTCCGCCGTTCTTGTGATATAAATGGTGTAACTAACTCGACTTTCCAGAAGTTTTTTTAAGATAACTCGACTTGTTTGATTTATATAAATTTACTTATAATATTTACATATTACAATGATACATAATTTTTTAGGAATTCTGTTTAATGATCTAAGAAAGAAAGCAGGTTTTGACGCGAAGCCAGAATACTTTGTACCTCACAATGTTGACTTCTATGGTAATCATACCGACAGACAGTACTACGTAGATAAAATTCAGGAAAAATATCTATCGGGACCAAACGATGACGATAACGTTATTGCCGTAAGTATACAACCTTTTATATATGTCTATTTTCATTTAGAATCTTTAGATTGAGTCTTACAAGACTTTTTCTTTTTGTTGAAAGTATAGAGATCGTTCGTGTTGCTTATTAGTTACATACATCCACGTCAGTTAATTCGAAAATTAAGTATATTATTTAAGCTTTTAAAACTTTAATTGATCACGTTCTCTAAAAGACAAGCATCATAAATTTATGAAAAAAAATTGGCGCCAGGAGGCACGTATAGCCGCCCATACTTGATATTTTTTTTATCTCAAAAACTGCGACTTTGACTGATTTTGATGTTATTACAAATTTTGTGGCAAATATTATTCCTAATCTTAAATTGAAAACTGCGCTTCGCTAGCTACTGTAATTTTGGAGTTACGATTTTTTTAAATTTTTAACCCCCTCCCATAACCCCTCACCAACTCCCCACCCCCACCAAAAGCTAATAGCCAGATTCTCGGATGCCACAGTATTTCTGTGCCAAATTTGGTTAAAATCGGTTTAGCGGTTTTTGAGTTATCGTGTTAAAGCTGCAGACGGACGGACGGACGGACGGACGGACAGACAGACAGACAGACAGACAGACAGAAAATAACTCATTTTGAGTGAAATTAAAAAAAAAATTGCCAATCTTAATAGCCTACCATACCTGTTGGTATTGGTATTCCCACCATTGTGCATGTTTATCCCCTTTAAGTTTTCGTGGAAAATATCCTTGTAACTTTTGAGTTGTACACCGGTTTTTTCTTACCATCTACACAAGAACGGTAAACTAATAGGATTGCTCATCCTCATAAGACGTACGTTCGCCTCTTCCCGCGCTTCAGCTGACAGTTGTGACGTCATTGTAGCCCTTGTCAAAGCCTTCGTGGCTTTGTCATGATAGTGTGTATTATTAGTTGCCTATGGTAAACTTATAAAAATAACAGCTGAGAAATTTTGAGTTAATTATTTTGTCAATTTTAAATGTGAAAAAGGTGTCTTTAAAGTTTTTAGAGCTATAGAGTGTATAAATACGTTCATTTTGTGTTGTGGATTGTGACAAAGTGCATACTAAGTGCCCACGATTTTGTTTATTAATTATTTTAAAGCAAAATATGGAAGTACTCTAAAAAGAATGCTTGCAAAAGGTGATGCTGGTTAACTGCTGTTCTTAAAAATGCATTATCCGAGTATTTAATACGATTTATACAGTTAATTTTCTATACTGCATACATATAAGATAAACTAAATAATGAACGTTTTGAATTCGGTAACCAATAATGCACGTGTGTGTATTATTGGTTGCCGGATAAGGACTAATAACCATGACAAGGGCTACAATGACGTCACAAAGCGAGTAGTTATCGCATGCACCTGGCGGACACTTTTGGCTGAATGAGCAGTCCTATTAGGTTAACTGTTCTTGCCATCTACACACTTACCGTAAAGCAGAGATTTTGGTAGGCGGTTTTCTTGCATTCTGCAAACGTGACCAGCCCATCTTAAGCGGGATTTTGTAATCATGACTTCAACGCTCTTGCAGTTTTTTCAAGAAACGATACGTTTGAGAAATGGTGGAACCATTTGATTCTCAAGAGTTGTCTAAGGTGCCTCTGTTGCAACTTGTTTAATGCGTTCATGTGTCGGCGGTGCGACACCCAGGTTTCGCCTCCATATAACATGGATTATTACTGCTCTGTACACTGCAAGTTTGATTTTTGTGCTCAAATCATGATTGTAGAAAACGCTATCTTATAATTTCCAGAATGCTCTTGAGACGCTACTAATCCTGTGCTGAATTTCGGAGTCGAAACTGGCCTTTTCCGAAATCAAACTGGCGAGGTAATTGAATTCTGCTACATATTCCAATAGTTCTTCTCCGATTTTTATAGCATTGTTGTGATCTTCGGGGGGAGTGCACATGATTTTAGTTTTATCGATGTTCAGCTTAAGGCCCAAAGCTTCGTATGCCCAGGTATATGTGTTCAACATTTCTTGTAATTGCTGTAGCGTTTTTGGAACTAGAGCGCAACCATCAGCGTATTGAAGTTTTGTGATAAATTTTGTACGTGTTTTTGCCCTAGGTCTTTTTATGTTGAACAGACCGCCGCGCCGGCGGCGTCGTATCTGTATCTAATACCCAATCCTATTTCCTGTAGTTTGCTATCCACTATAATGGAGAGCGCTGGCATAAATATGTTGAATAGAAGAGGCGCTAAGACACATCCTTGCCTAACTCCTGTATTTGTTAGGAAGGGATCACTCAGTGATCCATGATATGACACTCTTGACTTGTTGTTCTTTTGGAGGCTTTTACATACTGCAAGAAATTTGTTGAGTGCTCCAAACTTTTTCATAATTGCCCAAAGTGCATCTTTGTTAACAGAGTCGAAGGCTTTTGTTAGGTCGATGAATGCAACATATAGTTTACACTGCTGCTCTTTTACTTTTTTCTGTAGTTGGCGGACGGACAGTATGGAATTGACGCTAACGCGACGGTGCCACGGTTGGTTCGAAAACCCGTTTGCGATTCTGGGAGGATTTTTTCAATGTGTGAGTGCAGGCGGTTTGTCATAATTTTTGCAATAATTCTCCCCCCGATAACCAGTAGTGAAATTCCCCGGTAGTTTCCGCAGTCTGATGCATTTAATTCTAGATATTTTTAATATACCGGGAACCCCTGTATATTTGTATTGTTGGAATAACTACCTAATATTAATAAAATTGACATATCTTAATTATTCTTGTCCAGTAGTAATGAATGTTAAAATATAGTTAATTCAACTCGAAGTTCTTAACTGCTTACCTTACTACTATAGTAACAACCTAAATAACTACATATTAGTTTTTTTTTTCATTATTTTCATGATTTTAATCTGGGAACGATGGCACATTGCAGAATTAACTATTTTCGAAATACCATTTAAGATTCACAATAATCTCATTTTGTATTTACAGTCCTGTTACAATTTTTTTCCAGATATACAACTATGCATTATTGTAAAAGTTTGATTTATATATTATACAAAAATTAATACAAAAATTATCACAGAAAAGTTAAAGAAAGACAAGTTTTGATCAAAACTTAATTTCTCAAAAGAAAAATCTTTCCAAAGACTCAAAAAAGTGTTTCAAAGTGACTCCCTTCAAAATTCCTCTAAAAATAATTGCACTTTGATTGATAAAAATTGAATATTTATATATTTTAAAGGTGATAACGGATTCTTTCTTTGTGGCTGGAATTATTGGAAGTGCCCAAAATCACGCCCTTACCTCAGCATCGAATGTCTATCTTTATAAAATATCACTGGATACCCAACTGAACTCCATGAAGATATTTTACAATCTCACTGAATATTGGGGTAAGCATATTTGATGGTTTACGTTAAAAATTAATCAAAATTTTATAGAAATTGATAACGCTTTTTTTTTATTTGATTTGGTATATAAAGTTCAATTAATTTCATTTAGAATCAGTAATTTTCTTACAGACTGGCACGAAAAATGGACGCCTTAAAATTGTCATGTATTATAAAGTTTAATATATTTTATTCTAGTTTGCCAATTTTTGATGAATTTCTATCATTTCTATCATCAAAAAACTAAAAAAAAATTAAATCGAAATTTTAAACCTCCTGATACTTTGGTAGAAAATACTTCGATTTAGTAGATTTTTTTTTCATGACATAATGTTTTCTTTTTGTAGGAGCATCTCATGGTGACGATCTAGGATATTTGTTTAAAACCTTATTGACACCAACCATCGAACCTGGCAGCGTAGAAGAAACTAGTTTGAGACGATTGGTCAAACTCTGGACTAATTTTGCCAAATATGGTAATCCCACAACGGATGTAGAGGATGTAGGAATTTCCTGGCCGGCTGTTAGTCCACAACAGCTGAACACTTTACATATTGATGTTGATTTGACAGTAGAAGTCAATCCAGAAAGTGAAACGGTTGAGTTTTGGAAAGAGCTGTTTCAACAGAGTAATATAACCTCTGAATACTTACGTTAAAAAAGAGAAAAGTTTTATTTTGTCTGAATATTTCATATTGAATATATTGTAATTTAAAATAATCCAACATTTAAGAAGTTCTAAAATTATTTTCTTTTTTTATATTATATATGTTAGGGTTAAAGTCCGATGTCCGGTTAATATCGACATTAACAGGTTAATGTTTGGGTTTGGTTATGTTTTTGGTTGTTTTGTTGTGTATTATTCTCCAGATTAACCGGGTAATGTCGACATTAACCGGACATCGGACCTTAACCGTAACATATACATAATGAGATTAATAATGTAGAATAGAATTTACACATTAAAAATAAATATTAAAAAGTGATGTTTTATTGTTCCTGTGTAATGGTCACAGCTTATTCAGGACCAGTTGGTCATAATTGCTTGTTTTAGAGTGTCCGCTTTTACGCCTTGTCAGAGCACCAGTCGTGATCGTTCTTTTAAGCTATGTTGCAATAGAGCTTAAAACTTTAAACCCATCTTGTTACATAAAATAAGCGAATATCTACAAAGGTTCTTAGATTTACATGCAAACATTTTGCATGTAAATGCAAAATAGAGTATGATTTTACATGCATCATAAGTCGGCCAATTGGTTATGAATAGACTGTGATAATGATATTCTTGATCACACATAAAATTAAAAAATATGGACATTTAAATGTAACGCCAGTTATTATCATAAGAAATGTTTCTTAAAAAAACTGGATTCATTGCCACTGGAAAGGTAGTACTAGTAGATAATTAAAAGATATTATTAAAAGTTATAAAATATTAAACGTTATTTATTGTAATGTAGAATGTAACATGTATAGGAGGGGGGGGTGTATCACCTTACAGATCTACTGTGTGTTCCCTTTCCTTGAGTTATAATTCATCGCATAGTGTCAGAGCTTTGAAAAAAGCCAGCATCTGAGACAGTTTTACAGAGGTTAGTTCTCCATCTCCGATATCAGATGTAACAAACTTCATGGCACGAATCCTGTTAAAACCCCTGAGACAATCCGACGATTGTTTTTACTTAAATCAAGGAAAACCTTTGATTTTTCTCGGTCGTAAGTTCTGAGAAATTTCTTCGAGCGTCTTAGACCGTTGGAGGATTGCCGTTCCAGGTTACGGATGGAGTTTTCCAGGTTCTCGAGATCCGTTTTAAGTTTTTTTTTCGACTTGGGAAGCAGAACGGTTCAGGTTCAGTTAGTATAGTGTTCGCTCCTTTTCTAGTTATATCATTTGCTTTTTCGTTGCTTTCTATCCCTTCGTGGGCTAGTAGCCGGAGTAGGCGGACTTTATTATCTTTGCTCAATTTGTTCAGCTTTTCTAGGCATAGTTTGACCAACTTCGAATTGATGGTTCCTGAGTTGATCGGTTTTAATGCTGCTTGACTATCGGATAAGATGGCTATTTCTTGTTTCCGATAGTTCTTCTGTAAGTAGTAGGTTCGGAGTATTTAGTTTTTGGCCTAAATACTAATATCCCTGTCCATGCTTTGTTTTTTGGAAGCATCCACGTTATGGCATGGTCTTTTAAATGCTGAGCAAACTATTCTCTCTTCCTTTTTACTGCTCAATATTACAGTGATGTTTCTCAATGTTGTACATTCTTGGTATGTCATCCACTGGTAGTTAATTTTGGAGTGGAATTTTCCTTCTGAGGGTGTTCCAAGCTCATGAGCTGACAATTCTCCCAGTACTGCTTCCGTCAATGTATATTTATATTTTTACTTTTTTTTGTATTTTATACATTTTTACTTTTTGTAAACATCAATGTGTAGATATTTTTTGTGGCAAAAAAACCCAGACATTTCCCAAGAAATGCATCCGAAAAGCTATAGGCTTGGTGCATTCTCCGCCGGTGCTGCTACCGCCGGAGAACTCGTAAATAACGAACACATACAAATACATGGGTTTAAATAGCTAGTAAACGAAAAAATTAGTATACTCTGTTTTTTTTCTCAGGTAAGATTTCGACAGACGATGACAAAAGAAAAGCAGATGATGTCCCATACCAATCCATTTTTTTACTAAAAAAAGTTTCTAATAATTTTTAAGTTAACTATGGATGGGTTTAAATATAAATTCGTCTTGCGTGGTCACTTGTTGTTTTTAACCAGTTTTATTGGTTTATTTCAAAAATGACAGATCGTATTTCAATTTTATTGGTTTGACGGAACGATGAACGACAAACGGACGCCGATACGTATGAACTCGCCTTTAGATTTTTGACGTTTGTCAAAGTCTTGCCAAATTATAGGTTATAATTTTGTGACAACTTTTGTCAAATACTCTGCGTTTTGGAAGATGATGCATTTTGATTCGTGTTATTACGTGTGTTTTGTGTCTTTTGAAGTCAAGTGGAGGAAAAATCGAGTGAAAATTAACTGTAGAACCCAGAGCACAGTTTATGGTTAATACTCGCTGCCCTGGCAGAAAGTCTTATACAGATACACCAATAAAGTTACTGTCAATAAAGTTCGTATACCATCTCGTCGTTGATAAGTGCATCTCGAATAAGTAGAAGGACCATACTAAACACATACTAAAAACTGGAGTAGCTGTAAAATATCGACATCACACGATAGGTAAATAATGGATTTTAGTACTGCAGAAAAATAATGTCAAAAGGTACTGGTTTAAAAAAAATTAAGATTAAAGTTAATTAATCAACCTGTGATGGATAAAAATTGGTAAGTGTTTTTCTTAATAAAGTAGTTTGTTTTATTTTGTTGTTTTATTTATTCCTGCGGAATATTACAAATTTGTATTTGTACATAAGTTATATTGATAAATATAATCATAAATGCGGGAAGTTTCATAAAGCTTGAAAGTAAGAAATAGTTCTTTTTTATATTTTTTGGTATGTGGTGTCTTGTTTTTGTTTGCTTTGTATTAACACAGACCGTTTTTATTAAATAAAATAACTCGAGTACATTTTTTCAGTTTTATACAGTTTTTATCACAATATTTTGAAGTTACTTGTCAGTCAAATTTTAAATACATATATATTAATTTCCTGCTATGCGTTCCAGTTGTACTAACTTATTTCTTTTTAAAATAAAATAAACTACTTTGAAATTAAAATGACAGACACATCTATCACTGTCAATGATCTTCTCGTTGGACAGACTATATATCATTATTTTAAAAGTGTAATTTGTGGAAATTCTAAACAAAAAAATAAAAAGGTAAATATTTTGATATCTTCCGAAGGTCTAACTCGCATTATAATTTATTATTCCAGTTAAAAAAAAATTAGATGAGGGTTCAACTACGGTAGCGAGAATAGTTTTATCACCGGTTTTGCTAGTGGGGCATAATTGGAGCTATTTCGGCTATAACAAAATTTTTTAAAGGTACATAATTATAATTTTAAGATGTTCATAAAACATTTAATCAGTAGTTGATTAAAAACATATGCTATTAATATTGCAAATTATATTTCATCCTCCCATAGTATATGTCTATTTAATTTTTTGATTATGTAACGAGCACTTTGTTTGCTCACTTGTTTCGTCGAACTGCTTGAATCCATTTTTGCAGTTGATCAAATCGGTGTAAGAAATTATGAAGCTATAAAATGTTGTTTCGGGAGAGTTGCGGCGTGAACTATTTATTGATATTTTCTGATTTCTGCCATAGAGTGCGCTGCGGTTTAAATCAACTGAAATGCACCAAGTCTATAAACATTATTTAATAAATAAATTATTACTACTTATTATTAATTAGATTATTTAGAATTAGACAGAAACCGTTCTTTACTTATTAAATTACTTACTATAGTCTATAAAATGAATAACTTTGAATTTTGACCGTTATTTTTTACCAACATGACAAATATAAAATCCCTCTATCAAAAAAGTTACTGATATTCTTTAAATTGAGTGCCTGAACGAATCAGGTAGGTAACTCTTTTTACTTTCGTGAAATAGAAAAGGAAAATAATAAAACAAGTGACAGTTCTTCCTCTTGTTGCAAAAATCAACAAGAAATGTCATAATTGACAAAAGTAAAATGTCATCAGCTTTTGACATTTCTAAATATTAGACCAATGCCGTCTCTAATAGAACAGCCACGGAGCAAGATTTATGACGTCACGCTAGTTAGATACTACGGATTAATAAATATGTTGTAGAATACATGGAAAACATAATTATTCCTCGTATTTTTGGTTTGTATTTTAAAAATGATATAGTTTACATGAAATATACATAATGCACAGTTAATAAATACAATATAATATATACCTATTTATTGTAATAAATACTTTGGCAAATAAACTATGAACCATACAAATGTTTTACAATATACAAATAATGAATAGGTAGTACATAAGATAATGGGTAAAATGTAAAGTATATTTTAAATTTTGGGGTTTGAAAATCGATCTAATTTAACAAAAAACATTCAATATCTACTAATAGTGATGTATTATTATTTGCATTCACAAAATTTATTTATATATTATAATGTTTACTGCAATTAATAAACTAATATAAACTTGTCAAAAGATGACCACATGTTTTTTTTAAATTATTATTCTTAACACAAAAACTATCTACATTGACTATGGAGTACGATTTCAGCCATATTGTAAAATATTAGTTTATCTGCTGCATTTGTATTGTATCATAGTTTATATATAAATATTTATTACTATATATATATATATATATATATATATATATATATATATATATATATATATATATATATATATATATATATATATATATATATATATATATATATATATATATTGTATTTATTAACTGTATATTATGTATATTTCATGTAAACTATATCAAGGAATAATTATGTTTTCCATGTATTCTACAACATATTTATTAATCCGTAGTATTTAACTAGCGTGACGTCATAAATCTCGCTCTGAGGCTGTTCTATTAGAGACGGCATTGCATCAGCATTGCCGCAAGTTGCTAACCTAATAAAATTAACACTAGAAAAGCCCGCGGGAACTGTCAAATTCAAAGTTATTCGTTTTACAGACTATACTCATATTCTAGAAAGAATACCAAACCGAGTTTATGGTTTAAATTGAAATAAAATATTTGAATATTTTTGTTAAATTTTCACTGCTTTGTGCGGATTTATAATATTTAATTTTTAATAAACAATTAGAAATTATGTTTTTATACGACACCCTAATTGTTGCTAAATATAGCAACATTATATTTTTTTATTGTTCTTAGTAATCTGATATTGTAAATTAAAGGTTATAATTGAGTGTAGAATAAAAATCAAACCTGATAAAAAGTTAAAAATTATAAATATATACAGGGTGAATCTTAAATAAGTGCAATTATTTTTAGAGGTGATAAATATATTTCGACGCCAGGAACACGTCAATGATTTTTTTTCACAAAAAGAAGATGTTGAAAATCGTGCATTTTCATTTAAATTTTCCTGTATTTTTAGAAAACTTATTAGAACTGCCTGTTCACCGCAATTTTTCCAAGTTATAATTTCTTAATCTCTGATATTACGACAGTTACGGCACTAAAAGGGATGCGAAATAAAAAAAAATCTGGTGGCTCTATAATTTTTTTGAAAACCAATCAATTTTTTTTAATTTTCAAACTTGAATAACTCGGCTATTTTGGATATATTTAAAAAACACCCTGACTGACCTGAAAATATTTGGACTTGTTATATAAGACTTACCCTGTGTTATGTATTCATTTTTTTACAACAATTTGGGGAACAATATGTTTGTTGGAGAACAATCTTATAGTCCTTTTTCTTTTAATAAATCTAATAAATTAAAAATTTACTGAAATTTTATTAATTTAAATGGAATGCATATATTAAAAAATAGTATATTTAACAAATTCTTAATAGTATACCGGGTGCGTCTCAAAAGTGGCTCACCCCTATAACTTCTTTATATTTTCAGTTAAAAAAAAACAAGATTTGGTATGTTAGTATATGACATAAATTAGGATTGATTGACGTATTCAATTGTTTTCGCTCACTTCCTGTTTCACCGGAAATGACTATAACTTTTGATTTTTAAATGGTACCCTGGATATTTTTTTACTTTATTAGATAGAAAATAACACTGTGAATAGAATGACATATCATATGTCAACTTTTGACATTATCGCATATGGTTTATTTGAAATTATAACTTGCGGTTCGTAACGAAAATTTGACTCGAAATAACTCGTACTCGTAAAAAAATGCTTTTTCCAAATATACTAATGAGCAAGCCTTGTTCAATTTGAAAAAATTAAGATATGATTAAAAATACGATTTGAGAATTTTCTAACTGGCCAGGACAAGACACTAAAAACATTAGACGATCCAATCTATTTTTCCAAGGCTCCAAGATTGAAATTTAAAATACAATTTTTTATTAAGCGAAAATGTCAAAAGTTGACATGATATGTCATTCTATTCAGAATGTAATTTTCTATCGACTAAAGCAAAAAAATACCAAGGGTGCCATTTAAAAATCAAAAGTTGTAGTAATTTCCGGTGAAAGAGGAAGCGACCAAAAACAATTGAATATGTCAATCAATCCTGATTTATGTCATATACTAACGTACGAAGTCTCGTTATTTTATCTAAAAAAATAAGAAAGTTATAGGGGTGAGCCACTTTTGAGACGAACCCGGTATACACATTTAATTTATTTTAAATTGCCGGTGTATAATAATAATCATATGTTGGAAGACAAAGATAGAACTATTGAAAGTCACGAAAGTCGATGACCAACAGCAAGTATACAGAATTACCAGTCTCTTACACGAACTTGGTCAAGGTTTTAAAACGGTTCAGGTGTTTTGACCAAAACTTCAAGTAAACATTACGAAATATTTCTTAATAACTGCAATAAAGACACATTCTTAATTCCTGATATTATTTAGTAAATACAGTTAAAACACACCTTATTAATAAAACTTATTTTTGAGAACCAGAAAACAAAAAAAAACAGACGTTAGATTAGATACATAAATTTATCTTAAAGATATAAGTGTCAATTTATATCAATATCGAAAATATATGATTTATTAATGTAAAGTGTATAGTTTGTGAGTGAACATGAGTGCTGTAGTTAAAACACTTCAAGGAGCTGTACAGGGAAATTCTGGTACTGACCATGATGGGAATACTTTTTACAAATTTCTGGGAATACCATACGCCAAACCACCTGTAGGAGATCTTCGTTTTAGGGTAAAGTAGTCATTTTTGTTTAAGACATCAATTCTTATTACTTTATATTATGAAATTTTCGTATTATTTTACTTCGAATAAATTAACAATAATTACCATTTTTAATACTTTACTTTAATACCAGTTTTAATACCATTTTTAAGAATCAAAATACCAGTGTTTTTCAATAGTGGCCCACTCCTATAATTTCTTTATTTTTTCAGATAAAAAACGAGATTTGGTATGCTAGTATATGACATAAATCGGGATAGATTGACGTATTTGATTATTTTCGGCCAATTTCTGTTTCTTAAAAAATGTATGATATTCTGAATAGAACGATATATGATATGTCAACTTTTGACTTTTCAATTAAAAAAAATGTATTTTAGATTTCAATCTAGAGTACCATGACTGTGATAAAACAATTAATGATGACACGTAACGTCTTTGGAAAAATAAATTTGATCATCTTATGTTTTTCGTGTCTTTTCCTGGCTGGTTAAAAGATGCCCAAGTCGTATTTTAATCATAACTCTATTTTTTCAAATGGAACGAGGGTGGCTCATTCGCATATTTGAAAAAATAATTTTTTTAGAATAATTTAATTTCGAGTCAAATTGTCATTATATTTATTGTCGTGGCACTCTAGATCGAAATTTAAAATACCATTTTTTAAGAGGAACTGTCAAAGGTTGACTATATTGTCATTCAATTCAGAATATTATTTTCTATATAAAGTAAAAAAAATACCGACGGTACCATTTAAAAATCAAAAGTTGTAGTTATTTCCGGTGAAACAGAAACTTACTGAAAATAACTGAAATCGCCAATTCCAATTCTGATTTATATTCTATACCGGGTGCGTCTCAAAATTGGCTCACCCCTATAACTTTTTATTTTTTCAAATAAAAAATTGAGATTTGGTATTTTAGTATATAACATAAATTAGGATTGATTGACGTATTTAATTCTTTTTGGTCACTTCCTGTTTCACCGGAAATTACTACAACTTTTGATTTTTCAATGACACCCTCCATATTTTTTTACTGTATTCTATAGAAAATAACATTCTGAATAGAATGACATATCATCATGTGAACTTTGACATTTTCTGTTCGGCATTTAACCGCCATTACTGTTCGCCATTTTTATTAATTTTTAATCAAGGAGCCTTGGAAAAATAAATGTGATCGTCTAATGCTTTTACTGCCTTATCCTGGCCGGTTAAAAGATGCCCAAATCGTATTTTTAATCACATATTATTTTTTTCAAATGGAACGAGGGTGGCTCACTAGCATATTTGAAAAAAAACATTTTTTTTTACGAATAATTTGTTACCACCCACTTGGTACTGTACAGGGTGTCCCATTTTGGTTGAAATCATACGCTATCTCCGTTATTCGTGAAGATAGAAGGGTGCGGTTTGCACAAACCTGTGCCAATTTTTTGTCAAACGGAAGATGCTGTCAACAAAATTTTCATAGCCCTCTTCGTTTCTGAGCTACAGGGTCTTTTCGAAAATTTTGCAATTTGAGACAGCCCCCGCATCTCCGTTATTATGGACGATATCGAGAAGGTGAAAACTGATTCTTGTAGAACTTTTTACGTAGAATACAGTGGCGTAGTCTGTTTTTCTACAAAAACAATATTTTTGAAACTATGAACGAAAGTTATGTTTTTTCAAATGGAACACCCTGTATATTTATAAATCATATGATCCGCTTTGCTATGACCTTCTCAAAAATATATATCACTCGATATTTATTTTAACTATTTACTGCAATATTTAAAATATATCCTTTTCTTATTAGTAGGCCGTGATAAATAACAAAATATCAAAAATGGCATTTACTAAAATAGTCATACACCTATTAAAATTTTATTTGGAATTGATATATTTTACTGTTGAACCGGTACCACTGAATCTCTGAATATATTTTTCTTTTTTTTATAAGGGGATGGGTTTGCAAATATCTAAAAGCATATCGTTATTAGCTTGCATTATTAAAGCATTTTCCAAGTGTTCGACATTGTATTAGTTGCCACAATATATTTCATATTTCAAAAATCCCCAAAATCAGAAATCGAGAACGGACGTATTCGGGAATCAGGGAGGCCATCATATGGGTCCATTGGTTCCAATTCATTGATTTGAGAAATAATAATTTAACAAAATTCTAATATTTCCGTTGTAAGTTAAGTTGTTAGAGCCCCATCTTGTTGAAAGTATATTTAACGTAAATTAGCTAAAGGAATATTTAAAAGTTCCGATACTATAGCTTCTAAGATTTAAAAGCAGTAGAGAGTTAAGTTTTTCTAATATATAAAGAATTTATTATATTATTGACTCTCAAAATAAAAGAAGAGACAGATAGCAGCATACTTTTAATAATTCTTTAGTTTCTTTTATTATCAATCATGGCCTACTAATAAACGCGATCTTTTAATATATTTTTTTTAAATATTGCAGTAAATAGTGAAAATAAATATAGAGTGATATATAGTTTTGAGAAGCTTATGGTAAGCCAGATCATATAATTTATAAATTTACAAGGTATTCCATTTAAGAAAACATAACTTTAGTTGATATCTTAAAAAATATTCTTTTTGCAGAATAACAGACTACGCCACTGTATTCTACGTAAAAAGTTCTACAATAAACAGTTTTCACCGTCTCGATACTTTTAACAGTAACAGAGATACAAGGGGTGTCCCAAACAGGAAAATTTTCAAAAAGACCCTGTAGCTCAGAAATGAAGAGAGCTATGAAAATTTTGTTTACGGCATCTTCCGTGTGACAAAAAAGTGGCACAGGTTTGTGCAAACCGCACTCTTCTATCTTCACGAATAACGGAGATACCGTATGATTTCAACTAAAATGGGACACATTGTACGTCTGTCCGTTCTGTCTCACGGATACCCCGTCTGTCCTTAAAATCTACTTGTTTTGGTTCTATAAAAATCGATACTTTTTATGACTTTATGATGACAATACCTTGTCTAAAGAAATACCACGCGATACAAGTACCATATTGAATCAGATTGGTTTAACATCGACATTACTATTTCTGAACAAGATATCGAAAGTGTGAAGGAAGAAGGGCCTATTAGTGCTTATTTAGAAGGATATTGCTGTTATATTGTTTTAAAGGAAATTAAATGCGATACATGTAAGAATAATTTAACATTTTCAGACAACACTGATATTGGACAAAATTCACTTATAAAATACCTTACAAAAGGCAATCTTGGGTTTCCAAATGATATAGTTTTATTTGAATATATAATTTTTAACAAAGTTTTGCAAAGCCATGAGGAGTTTCTCAAAATTCACAATAAAAAAATATTTTTATGAAAAATATCTTTGGATTACATTAAAAGTAATAACACCATTATTAAAAGTTCCGCAATGTACTATTTATAATGCTCAGTTATTGTAAAAATTGTCAAAAATTCTATTAGAAATACACGTCTGAAAAACTACTGTAGTAAAAAAATGATGACTTGGAAAAGGAAATAAAAGAAACTTAGACACATTTACAGCATAAATAAATACAATGACGATGGATGTGAGATGGGATATCAATCTGATGTTTTTTAAATTTTATGTTTAATTATTATTTATTAAAAATTCGGTACAATTAAAGTTTATATCCATTATATACGTATAAAGTGTATCAAATGCAATCAAAGTTTAGGCCTCCAGTTGATGACGTCACGAATAAGCTGTCCAGCCTTGTTATTACGGTGGTTACGCTCCTACACGCAAGGGATGCAAAAATATTTGATCCGTCGCGATGTTTACCTCTCCTTAATATCTGTGCGTTAGTGGACTACCGCGGAGAAATATCTGATATGTGGCGATTCTTGCAAATTCTAACCTGATGAAAGATCAGATATGCGCTATGTCGTAATGCGACCGGATCGGCGGATACGGAATGTCATATACGGACTGCGGGACCGATCGCTTAAAAATCCCTTACCTCTATTGTCAGATGTAACAAAATCATTGGTGGGCAACTTAAGGCATGTTGGCGTTTGCCTGGTTTTGTATTGCTGTTCAGTTTTAATTTAAAAATAGATGCAATTTTTCTTAAATTAGTTAAAATCGGTTTGTTCAAAATTATTCAAATTTGACATGTGTATTCAGCATAAGCAAACCTTTATAAAACCTATTTTTGATCTGCTTTAGAATCTAAACGTGCTTTAGAATCAACTGTGGAGCCAATATATGGAAAGTTCAAAATTTGCATACGATTTCCTAATTTTACAAGACCATGATGCACTACCTAATGTATTTATTTATATATAATTAAAAATACAATTTACTTTGAAATATTATTTAACTAATCTAATAATAAAATTAATAATAGTATACTTTAACTATGTTGCTGTTTCGTTCATATATTTACAAATCTTTTACAGTTATACCTACATTATCTTATAAATGTTATAATTTAAATTTTATAATATAGACACTTTAAGTATTATATCAGCCACAGTTTTTTTGTATTTTTTTTAAACCTTTGATCATACGAGGAGATAAGTAGCAAGATTATAAGGATCAAATTGAATCACAAATGATAAATTCTGTTATCTTAAAAAATATTATTGATTACGGCATTAATGACATAATTGCTACATGTTGTTGGATAACTGTGTAGAGGAATTAGAAGTAAACAACTTAATCTTCTAATTTTATTAAGATTGTTAAGGTATCGGGTAGACTGGGAATATCCCATTAATCAATAAAATGCAATTTATTTGCTAAGAATTATAAATATTCTCGAATTGTTGATTAGAACGTCGGTTTCAAAATGTTTGTTTTAGGCTAACATTAGTTAAACCGAAATTTAAAAAAATGTATAAAATATCAAAAAACATATTTTATCATGAAAGTATTTTCCAAGCCATAGATTAATCTTAAGTAAACATTGTCACGCATTTCCTAGGTTAGTTAAGAGGGTATTTTCTCACATTTTATTATTAAAAATATTAAATTTAAATAATAATATAATTAAATAAACTTATATCCAAGATGTAAATTATCAGCTATGAAGCATTAATATTTAAGAAAAACAACAATAAATTCACAAAAATTAATGGATGTAGTACAAAACTAGACTATGCTACCTATACAGGGTGGTCCAAACTGTATTTTAACAGCATATTCTGCAGATATAAATAAGTAAAACAGTTCGTATAAATGGATGTCCTAAAACTATTAGTTTTGGAGATGCAGGGTGTAGAATTTTCATTTTTGTTTCGATTTTTTCCAAGTGACGTCAATATTTGGATGAAAATTGGTGTCTGGGAATTTTTTGACAAGAGAAATTTGATTTTGATGTCAATATGACTCTTATTTGTAGAGGCCGCCATGCCACCTACATATTTTTAACTGGTTTGAAGAGTAATAACTTTTCGTCCGTACCTGTATAAAACTACTAAATAAAAAAAATAAACAATTACCACGTTATTTACGTAAAAAAGTTATCTTGATGAAAACCGCTACGAGTAATGGTTCTTGAGATATTTGGAACCGAAATTATCAATACCATTGACATACCATCATTATTGGCATGGATTAAACGAAATAGTTATTAGATTGAAATCATAAATTTTAAATGTTTTTGTGCCAAAAGTTCAACAGAAACTGTTTTATCATCATTTTTGCGAAGAAAGATTTATTATTAATTTAAAAAAATAAAAAGTTCCCAGACTTTATCATTTCAGTCAAAAAACTATCTAGTCTAGTCATCATGTTTATTTTTTTTTTGTCAATAAAGACATATATTGACTATTTTCATTCTAAATATCGTGAGAACGATTGTTCGTAACGATTTTTATCAAGATATATCTTTTACGTAAAAAATCACTGAAATGTGTATTCTTTCACTGAGTGGTTTTACAAAGGTACGGACGAAAAGTTATTACTCTTCAAAACAATTAAAACACATTTAGGTGGCGCCCCCTACAAATAGGAGTTATACTGACATCAAAATCAAATTTCTCTTGTCAAAAAACTCTGAAACGCCAATTTTCATCCAAATATTCACGTTACTTCAGAAATTATTTGGAAAAAATAGAAATAAAAGTGAAATTTCTACACCCTGTATCTCCCAAACTAAGGATTGAAGACGTACATTTATAAGTACACTTAAACCTTACCGTTTTTGAAATATTTTCAATTTTGTGAAATTGCAGTAAAAATTTTAAGGCTTCATTTCTCCATGAGTATCAAAGTTTTTAATACTAAATATTTACTGAAGTTTATTTATTGATCAGTTATTGTGTTGCAATAATAAAAATTATACTACCTTATACAGAGTGTCTAAAATTTTATTTTAAATAATTACTAGCTTTAAACGGCAATAACTTGTTTAATTTAAATGGAACACCCTGTATGTTTTACGAGAATCAGATGCACAATTTAATTGTCTATCAGATTGTATTATGTCATTTTTTACCTATAGCTTCAAGTTTCCGTAGAAAATGCATTTTCTTTTAATTTTAAATTCTTTTATCAATATACCCATGGAATACTGACATTTTAGATTAATTTTAAAGATGTACCAAATTTTTAAAGAGTATAGATACTAATATTGTCGATATAGTTTGTTTATTTCATTAAAAAATAAAAAAAAACTGTTTAAATATTTGTTAAAGATGACCAATTAATATGATTCCAGTATTCAGATTACATTAATTGACTGTTTGCGTTGATTAATAATAATTGCTCCAAAAACTAAGAAACTGAATTTTTTATGTGTATTAGACAGTATGGTAAAAAGTAACACCTTAAAAATGATATTTCATTTTTTGACAAATGCTTATTTGTAACAACAGAGACATTCATTTTTATAACTTATTATTATATTGATTTCTGATTCAAATCCACATTTATTTATAATAATTTATTCACGAACATAATTAAGTATGTAACTAATTAGTATTTGGGCGGAAAAAATGGTGGTATATTTAATTAATGGTATACTCTTTTATAAAGATTTAAATAGTTTGGTTTGGTTATCATTTTGTTAAAAACGATAATATTACTAACCTGTACATTTTGTACATTTGTTGTTTTAAAAACAATCTAAAATGTCAATATTCCATGGGTATATTGATAAATGAGGTCTAAATTATAAGAAAATGCATTTTCTACGAAAACTTAAAGAGATAGGTAAAAAGTGGTATAATACAATTTGATAGACAATTAAATTATGCATCTGATTCTCCTAAAGTATACAGGTCGTTCCATTTAAATTAAACAAGTTATTGCCGTTTAAAGCTAGTAATTATTTAAAATAAAATTTTAGACACTCTGTATAAGGTAGTATTATTTTTATTATTGCATCACAATAACTGATCAATAAATAAACTTCAGTAAATATTTAGTATTTAAAACTTTGATACCCTTGGAGAAATGAAGCCTTAACATTTTTATTGCAATTTCACAAAATTGAAAATATTTCAAAAACGGTAAGGTTTAAGTGTAATAAACCTTAATAAAATTTACCTTTATTTCAATCGTAGAATCTAAAAATAGAATAATATACAGGGTGTTCCGGGGTGTTCCATTTAAAAAAATACAACTATAGTATTTTTACTTATTTGGGACACTCTGTATCTTGTAAAATTATTTCTAAATTGTAGCTCTAATAGTCCTTCAACGAACCCAAAACTTAAAATTTGTAAAAATCTAATCGTTTAGCTACAATACTCCGTGTCGTATGTGGTGAACAACCCGGTATAAGTTAATATATAAGAATAATATTTAATATAGAGGATCACCTTGTATATTAAATATTATTTACTACCGTTGTATGAAAAACGTCTAAAAAGCACTAAAAGCGATCAACTCAGTAACCATTAATTCGAAGTTGGCCAAAGAATGCCTAGGGAAGCTGAACAAATTAGGCAAAGTCCTAGTAAAAATTCAACAAACAGTCTATATTACAAATGCCGAGGTTTACAAAAGAATAAGTAGAGAAAGAGTAATATATAAGCAATATGATAAGAGCAATATAATAAATAATATAAAAGCAATATAATAAAAGTAAGAAAAACATTGTATTTAGCGCATATACTGAGCAACGAAAAATATCTAAACTCTTACTCAAGACCCAACCTTTTAACATAGCCTGGTATGCCCGAGGGTGATATCTCTCCTAGGTCTGATACGTCTAGCATGGTTTTGCCAAACACCTCAAACCATCCTCTGTAGGTGTGATCTCAGCCGGCAGTGGCCCGTGTATACTGCAGTGAGCGTACACGCTCCATTCCTGCCTGCCTTTAAGAGTTCTCCTGTTCTGCGTTTGGACACTCCTGCAAGGATTTTCTTGGCATGTTCCATTGCGGAACTGTTATTCCAGCCCCAAAAAGTCGCACCCCTAAGTCGTATTATGATTACAAGGGTATTTTCTCAAAATAGATGAAAGTTTCTACTATTTTTCTCTATGTGTTTCCTTTTAACTTCTTTCTTATACGCTACTTTTCCTCTGCATGTATAATTGATAATTCTGAATTTATATATTTTATTCTTTTTTCAGGACCCTCAACCGCCAGAATCATGGATTGGTGTTCGTGATGCTACAAAAGAAGGCAGCAGTTGTTACAACACTAGCTTTGTTACCTATCAAGTTGAGGGATCAGAAGATTGTTTATATCTAAACGTTTTTACAAGAAATGTAAGTAAATTATTTTTTACTGTATAAAAGGTTATACATATTAATAAGAAGTAGATATAGTAAAAGTCACAAATATATTTTTTAAATTTAAAATTATATGTATAGATAAAAATAAACTATAGATCATACCAAATAAACTTTTAGTCACGTGATTAAGCTCGATCGGCACACCGTTGTCCACTTTTACATATTTTCTTTTAATCAAACACTGAAGAAAATATTGTTCATAATATTAATGAACATTGATTATTAACTGTTGTTTCATTGGGACAATGATTTTTTTCATTAATATAATGATTTGTTAATCATAGATCGATGTTCGATTTATTAATACTATGAATCTAATTTCATTAATATAATGAAAATCTGGTTATTAAATTAATGTAAGATTTTCATTAATATAATGAACGCGTTCATTGTCCCAATGAACGTGTTCTTTATTTTAGTGCTGAAACTTTAATAAACACATATTCATTATATTAATGTACTAAATCATTGATTAATGAGTTGTACATTGTGACAATGAACAATGTTATTAATACAACGAACACACTACATTATATTAATGTATGCGGTTATTAATATCATGAATAAAATATTAGGGCTTAAATGTCCGCCATGTTGAAATCGAAGAGAATAGTAATGTTATTATTAATTTTAGGGTAAATTATAATAAGAAAATTAATTTACCAGTCGATATCCTGAGGGATTTCTATAAAAATACCATTTCTTCATTATACAGAGAAGACCAGGCTACTAGTAACATAGCAAGTTGCCGGACGAATTTACGTTTGCCCAATTTGCGTTCGTACTCGAGATTCACTGCCGGCTAGTCGGCTAGTCAGGCAGTACGCAGTTGCAGTTGTGCTTGGACGGGTCGGTCGTGACAGACTAGGAATACGACGCGAGGAGTGCCGAGTATTTATTATTTTCATTTTAAGTGTTTACCTTCACTTAAGGTAACATTTAAAATAAAAATACTTAAATCTTTATTATTTGAGTGTGTTTACAAGCCAAAACTAAAAATAAATAACTCCCTAAACCCAAAAAAAAGCTAAAATATTACTCTAAATAAAAAGTTATAACAAGTGTTGAAAAAGACCACCTTCTTGTGCTAGACAGAAGCGTAGGCGGTCGTAAAATCCCCGTCTGACATTGGCTAACATATTAGGGCTAATAGTTTGGAAAGCCTCTCGTATTTTTACTTGAAGCTCATCCAGATTATTAGCCCTATTATGACCATACACTTTGGGTTTTACATAACCCCACAAAAAGAAATCATTGGGAGAAAGATCTGGTAATCTAGCGGGCCATAAAATAGTTCCATATCTACTAATTAAACGGTTAAACACTTGCTTTAACTCCTGTTCTTCATTAATCAACACATCAGGCTTCTTGTGTTTTTGTGGGGACACGCACCCATGTGTTTCAAAATTATTAATAACTCTTGATATAGTAGGTAAAGATAGAATTGCCCTGTTCACAAAAGTTTGTGGAAAAATTATTTGTATATCCCGATAAGACCTATTTTGGAAATACCATTTTACAATTTGAATTTTCTCACAAACTTCGTAAACATCCATTATTTTACTTAAAAAATAAATTTTACACGAGAACTGTCGCGAGAATCTATGTATTCGTTTTGGCTATTAAAACACGAATAAATACAAATTATGAAACATTCTTATCACATATCTACCTATTTTTATTTTATCGCATTTTTTCGCCTGTTTTTTATCCGGCGGACGGGTATACGCTAATTCGTCCGGTTCTGCCTATGTTACTACTACGGTGGTCCGGTCTGTATTAGCTGTATCCTTAGACTTGATAACGTCTAGACGAATTTGCAACAGGCTTTCCAAGTCGCATCAAGTGGGTCCGATGTTAAATTGTCGAATTTGAGGGCTTGAAGGCAGGTCTCAACATCTTCCGGTTCTAAAAGACGTATATCAAAATAATTAAAATGCCAAATATTAAAAGAACATTCGAATTTACCATAATCACTTCCATGCCTCGACTTGTTACTATGTTTTTCTTCTTTTTCTTTTTTATCTTCTGAAACATATTTGGAAACCGCTGTTTTAATTAATACCCACGGCAGAGATCTCCCACAGCGGAATTTGATTTGACAACACAACAAATTAACTACAATACGATAGGACTTTTATTTAAAATATTTAAAATATTGAAGAGAACACTTACTGCTGTAATGAAACTAAAGCCTCACTGCATAACTCAACCACACAGACGTTATTAAAGTTCGAAAGTAACCGATCAACATGGCGGACATTTAAGCCCTAATATTTTATTCATGATATTAATAACCGCATACATTAATATAATGTAGTGTGTTCGTTGTATTAATAACATTGTTCATTGTCACAATGTACAACTCATTAATCAATGATTTAGTACATTAATATAATGAATATGTGTTTATTAAAGTTTCAGCACTAAAATAAAGAACGCGTTCATTGGGACAATGAACGCGTTCATTATATTAATGAAAATCTTACATTAATTTAATAACCAGATTTTCATTATATTAATGTACTAAATCATTGATTAATGAGTTGTACATTGTGACAATGAACAATGTTATTAATACAACGAACACACTACATTATATTAATGTATGCGGTTATTAATATCATGAATAAAATATTAGGGCTTTAATGTCCGCCATGTTGATCGGTTACTTTCGAACTTTAATAACGTCTGTGTGGTTGAGTTATGCAGTGAGGCTTTAGTTTCATTACAGCAGTAAGTGTTCTCTTCAATATTTTAAATATTTTAAATAAAAGTCCTATCGTATTGTAGTTAATTTGTTGTGTTGTCAAATCAAATTCCGCTGTGGGAGATCTCTGCCGTGGGTATTAATTAAAACAGCGGTTTCCAAATATGTTTCAGAAGATAAAAAAGAAAAAGAAGAAAAACATAGTAACAAGTCGAGGCATGGAAGTGATTATGGTAAATTCGAATGTTCTTTTAATATTTGGCATTTTAATTATTTTGATATACGTCTTTTAGAACCGGAAGATGTTGAGACCTGCCTTCAAGCCCTCAAATTCGACAATTTAACATCGGACCCACTTGATGCGACTTGGAAAGCCTGTTGCAAATTCGTCTAGACGTTATCAAGTCTAAGGATACAGCTAATACAGACCGGACCACCGTAGTAGTAACATAGGCAGAACCGGACGAATTAGCGTATACCCGTCCGCCGGATAAAAAACAGGCGAAAAAATGCGATAAAATAAAAATAGGTAGATATGTGATAAGAATGTTTCATAATTTGTATTTATTCGTGTTTTAATAGCCAAAACGAATACATAGATTCTCGCGACAGTTCTCGTGTAAAATTTATTTTTTAAGTAAAATAATGGATGTTTACGAAGTTTGTGAGAAAATTCAAATTGTAAAATGGTATTTCCAAAATAGGTCTTATCGGGATATACAAATAATTTTTCCACAAACTTTTGTGAACAGGGCAATTCTATCTTTACCTACTATATCAAGAGTTATTAATAATTTTGAAACACATGGGTGCGTGTCCCCACAAAAACACAAGAAGCCTGATGTGTTGATTAATGAAGAACAGGAGTTAAAGCAAGTGTTTAACCGTTTAATTAGTAGATATGGAACTATTTTATGGCCCGCTAGATTACCAGATCTTTCTCCCAATGATTTCTTTTTGTGGGGTTATGTAAAACCCAAAGTGTATGGTCATAATAGGGCTAATAATCTGGATGAGCTTCAAGTAAAAATACGAGAGGCTTTCCAAACTATTAGCCCTAATATGTTAGCCAATGTCAGACGGGGATTTTACGACCGCCTACGCTTCTGTCTAGCACAAGAAGGTGGTCTTTTTCAACACTTGTTATAACTTTTTATTTAGAGTAATATTTTAGCTTTTTTTTGGGTTTAGGGAGTTATTTATTTTTAGTTTTGGCTTGTAAACACACTCAAATAATAAAGATTTAAGTATTTTTATTTTAAATGTTACCTTAAGTGAAGGTAAACACTTAAAATGAAAATAATAAATACTCGGCACTCCTCGCGTCGTATTCCTAGTCTGTCACGACCGACCCGTCCAAGCACAACTGCAACTGCGTACTGCCTGACTAGCCGACTAGCCGGCAGTGAATCTCGAGTACGAACGAAATTGGGCAAACGTAAATTCGTCCGGCAACTTGCTATGTTACTAGTAGCCTGGTCTTCTCTGTATAATGAAGAAATGGTATTTTTATAGAAATCCCTCAGGATATCGACTGGTAAATTAATTTTCTTATTATAATTTACCCTAAAATTAATAATAACATTACTATTCTCTTCGATTCGTCTATTCGATTTTTTTTTAATTTTTAATTTGTATATGCTGTATCGAGTTTAATAAATTATTATTAGTTTATTGCACTTGTTTTTTATTAATAATCCCTAATGGAAAAATTTACTGTGCTCGTAAGTAAGTCGGCACTATTAGTAATTTTGTTACCTTTGTAGCTAAGGGCTTGTTCAAATGGAAATCTATTTATAGTAGAATTGTTTCAGGTAGTTGGCTGGGAAATGACTATCAATGACATTTCATTTCATTCAGCTATCTTCATCATCGATTATACGGTGTAACAAGAGTTACTAATAGTGTCGACTTTTAAATGTATATCTAAATAGGTTATGAAATTATTTCATTGTATTAATGATACGGTTCATTAATATAAGGATTTAGGTACATTATATTAATGAAATCTGTTCATTGTACCAATGAATGTGTTCTTCATATTAATGAACACTGTTCATTGATTCAATGAACTTAAAGTTCATAGAGTTAATGAATTACTTTTCATTGTGCCAATGAAATCGTTCATCGGCTCAAAATTAATGATTTAATTCATTCTATTAATGAACTTTTTCATGATATTTATGTCGACTTTTGGTTCAGTGCAGTGGCGCATCTAGAGATTGACTCTGGGAGGGGTAGTTGCAATATTATGTAAAATACCTACTAGCCTTACTAGGTTTAAATTAAATTTACGGAAATGTATTGTGACTATGAAAAAAAAAATAACTTTGATGGGTCTGAATTTTTTATTTTAAATGGTTCTTATTAATTTCTTTTGTGGCAATTTTATTTTAGACCACATTCTAGCTTACTTATAAATTTCTTTCTGGTAGGGGTAATTACCCCCATTACCCCTCCCGTATATGCGCCCCTGGTTCAGTGAAATATTTTAGGAAACAAAATAAATTAATTATAAATATATAAACAGTTATTATTTACATCAACAAAACTTACCTCCTTAACAGCACTTAAGGGACATAAAGGACCATTACTACCGCTTTCCCGTTCAAAATATTCTTATAATAAGGTTGCAATGAATTTTTTGCAAAGGCTATTAAGCTATCTTGTACAGTTCGCACTAAAAGAGGTTCTAAAAAGAACAGTGTTCGACTGCAAGGTCTGCTAGTAATAATTTTCAAGCTTAAAGTGTCACAGCATAATTCATTTAAACCAAATATTCCTAATACAAAACTAAAGTGTCAAAATGAATAACAATGTCAGGAAATAAATAAATAAATGTGGCAACTTGACATTTTTTACAGCAGAACTACTACCTCAATCCCCATCGGGAAATTTAAATTCCAGTTAGTCAGTCCGGCGCCGAATATCCATGGTTCGCAACAATCAATTTAAAAATCGCGCCCTCGATTACGTAACTAAAAGTTTAATTGGTATCGCTTTTATGTAAAAATTTGTTCGAATTAAGAAATAAGTGTTTTTTACATATTTTTTAGTTACCAGAAGAAACAGATAGTTTGAAACCGGTAATGGTATGGATTCATGGTGGAGGTTTTGTTAGTGGATCCAGTTCAACCCAACTTTATGGTCCAGAGTTTTTGCTTACTCAAGATGTAGTTCTTGTAACCATTAACTACCGACTAGGAATATTTGGTAATAATTAATTTCTACTTCATATTTTGTTTCTATTATGTATCTTTTCAAAATCTTGAATTATTACATTGATGTGACGTTTCCTTACAAAGTTAATAATAATAATAGCTCCAGTATATATCGTTTAACGCCTTGGGAGTAGCAAAGTACCAGCTTACCATGCTAGTACCCGTTCACGCTTCAACCGCCTAATATTACTTCAGGATTGTGAATCCCAAGTCCAAGTACTCATTTACCAAGTTTACACGAATGCTTAATTCGCATTAGTCACTAATGCGATTTAGTGAAAATACGGTTTGGGTCGTGTTTACACGACGGGTTAAAAAAGGGATTTTTACGTTGACGTTAAACAGCTGTTTCCTATTGCCAACCTAAGAAAATTCAAAACATAATAATATTGCTTTTGCTTAAACAACTGATATTGATTTTTCGCATTTTTAACAAAAAATTCTAAACTTTTAAACGTTAAAAATGGATCATCTAAATATTGTTAGTTCCTTTATGGTTCTGTTAAACCAATTACTATATGAAAGAAGAAATCAGGTGATATCTAGAATCTTACGAAGATGAAGGTAATCTCTAAAAAGAATGAGAAGTTTAATGTTAGATTCTTATTTACATTTACTACATTGTCAGATTGTAATGGAAATACCAGGATCAGTTTTTCAAAACTTTCCACCGAGCTTCAGGAGTAGTTGGATGAAACCAAGGAGTGGTCACTTTTTTAAAAAATAAACACAAAAAATAACCTCAATATTCGTTCAGTCAGCTGTCGGTTCATTTTTTTTGTTGGTAGCGCTGCGAGATAATGCGCATTTGTGTTTACACGAAACTTTAATTCGAATTTAAGCGAGATAATCCACATATTTAATGCGTTCTGAGTTAATGCGAATTAGAATTTTTAAAACGGTTTACAAATGTTGACACAGGCGTTTTATTTAAATTCGCATTCGGCTAATGCGCATTAGAGTGCTCGTGTAAACTTAGTAATTTACAGTACGTCTGTCCGTTCTGTAGCTACGGGGTATCCGTGAGAGGGGAAACGATATTCCCTCGATGTTTTTCGTAAAAAAATAGACGACGCGTCCCATCAATAAAAATTCAACAAATTTGCAAGTAGCCCATAAAATGAGTGGGCCGAGCAATTTGCGGTGACGCACTCGTCAAATCGACGTATAAAATATATTGCTGTTTATTTAAATGTTTTTGTCCGCATTCCTTTCATAGACACAGATCCAGCAGATGTACTGTAAGACTGAATCGACCAAGGTGCCCGGTGGCGTAGAGGTACAGCTCTTGTCTACTAATCTAAAGGTTGTGGGTTCGAATCCTACAGTCGGCAGTTCATCAGCCGACTATTTTGATTATAATAAAAATAGTTTTGGGTACCTAGGTCCTTACAAGTTATCTGGTCCTATAAGATACGCGAAAATCACAAAATTAAAAATATTTGGATTAGAAAATTGATATTTGATAGTGAAATGGCGCTAGTGAAATCGAGTTTTTAGATAGAATTCTTATTTGGAGATGTCACCTACAGAGTGTTCAAAGAACTACATTAAAATTCATATTGTCATTATTAATTTCATCCACCTAATACTTTCTATTTTTTTCGAATTGAAGGTTTCCTGCGTATAAAAGATCCAAAGTTTCACATAAATGGAAATATGGGTTTTAAGGACCAGGTAGCTGCACTGAGATGGGTAAAGAACAATATAATTCAATTTAATGGCGATCCAAACAATATCACTCTGTTTGGCGAAAGCGCAGGTTCAGCTTCGGTTCACCTTCACATTTTGTCTCCACTTTCCAGGTAAAAAAACAACATATAAATAATAGTAAAACTAGTTGAAAGTAGTCTAATTTTGACGGCATTTGAATTTGCAAATGTAAGTAAAGTGTTGTAACAGCAAACCAACTACAAACTTGAGCTAAATACACTAATCTTGAGCTCCAAAACAACTAAAAGTATGATTGCAAACAGAGCTACATCAAGCCAGTTTTAAAAAGACTTAAGTCGTTTAAATCAATTTCAAGACAAAGTTCAAATGACTTATGTCTTAAGTCTTTGACTTAAATAATTTTATTTCAAGTCAAGTCATTTCTGTAAAGACTTAGATCAATATATCGATATTTAGGCCGCTTTTATGACTTAATTCTGTATTTTTCACTTAAGTCATGATGATCTGCAAGTTAAGTCAATAAAATGACTTAAATCAATACCTTAAGTAACTACCCTCAAGTCAAGACAACTAGGACATAATTTATGGGGAAATTAAAATAATTTTGGTTGCACATCATAATACGACCAGTAAACTCCATAAGACGACGCATGGTGTCATTGATGACGTGCTCCCAAAGTTGTTTTAATTTCCCTTTAAGTATTTTTTTTAAATGTTAATATTCATTTTCTATACCATTCTTTCGATATACCCTACTTTAAAATATTTAAAAGAAATGTTTAGTCTATTCACGGTTTTAGAAACATATCAAAATAGGTAGGTACTCTTTATATTCTGAAAAGTTGAAATTTTAAAAACTTTTCTTTATATAGAGTGTTTCAAAAACATGTGCCATCTTTTGTAGGGAGATTCCCTTGGAGATTCATCACGTACAAATAAGATTTATTTTTCATATCAACATAGGTCTGATTCTGCTTTGTTTCATAGCTACAGGGTGTTAAAATCTTAATAAGCTTTCGATTTATTATAATTTTCTTCCATGTACTTTTAGTGATTCGAATGAAATTTTGAGGAGAAAAGTTACTATAAGTGCTACATATTTTAATGTTAAAAAAGTGTCGACAAATTTATCAGGGACGTGCATATGGGTTATCACTGAAATGTTTTTCAAAAAAAAACATGTGTGCCACTCACTTTTTTTCTTTTGTTATCGAAATTGTGTAGGTCCTTTAATGCCAATTAAAAGTTATCTCTAGATATTTTTTCAAATTTGGCCTCCTTGATGAGATAAACGCAATTTTATTAATCACAATTAATAAAATAAAAATAAAATTAATAAATTATACAGGGTGATTCCTGTAAGTCGGTCATGCTTTCGGAGAATGATAGGGGACGTCGAAATATTAATTTTGATATAGCACACTATGGGTCGGAAATGCCTCTTACGCAAGATACAGGGTGTTAAAGTTTTTGAAAAATTAAAGATATTCTTTAATAGTTTTTTAACAGTTAAAGGTATCGTTATAAAATTTTATTATAGGAGTCTACCTAACAGAGACACTTTAAATGTAAAAAGAAGAGGTTTTAGTTTCAACCAGTAGCGTAGATGTGATACGCATCGGGTAAGTTTTAAAAAAAAATAGTACGCCACTGATAAAAATAAAAAAATCAGAGTTTTTTTATTTACTCGGTTTATTTCCAAAAAAAATGTGCCTTGCAACACCATTTTGTCACAATTTAGAAATAAATAATTTTTTTAATGAGAACCTTAAATACAGCAATTATAACTAAAGGGCAGAAACACATGTGCATCGTTAGCTCTCTTCATCACCTAACATGAGAATTTAAATAGGCCAAGGTTAGAGTTACATACCTTGGGTAACATTAGTATTTTTTACTATTAGCTCCTTAATTTTTTTATATTTAAACTACAAAATTTTTTTATTGTTTGTAATAAAATTCTTAGTTTTAAGATAGTTATAATAACTGGCATATTTAAGGTTCTCATTAAATAATTTATTTACTTTTAAATTATTGTGGTGTCTCTCTGAACAAACTCTGAAATTTTTATTTTTCTTTCAGTGGCGTACTATTTTTTTGAAAAAATTACCCGATACGCATCACATCTACGCCACTGGTTTAAACTAAAACCTCTTCTTTTTAAATTTAAAGTGTCTCTGTTAGGTAGACTCCTATAATAAAATTTTATAACGATCCCTTCAACTGTTATAAAAAGTATTAAAGAATATCTCCAATTTTTTAAAAACTTTAACACCCTGTATCTTGCATAAGAGGCATTTCCGACCCATAGTGTGCTATATCAAAATTAATATTTCGACGTCCCCTATCATTCCCCGAAAGCATGACCGACTTACAGGAATCACCCTGTATATTTTACCTAATTTATTTTTAAATATTATTACTATTAGTCCAACTTACAGCAATTTCAAATAACAAATAAAGGTATTTAAGATAATTAAAAAAAATCTAATTTTAAAAAGTATTAACATCGCAAATTTTAAACTATAACTATACATTTCCATACCCATGCTTATAGGAACCTTTTTTCACATTTTTTGATGAGGAATCAATGGGTACTAATTTAAAACTTTCGCAAGTTAATGATATTAAATTTTTTAAAAGCTTGTTATTAGACTTTGGATGGAGGCAAATTAATAATATTTCGTTTATCTCATCAAGGAGGCCAAAATTGATAAAATAACAAGAAACAACTTTTAATTGACATTAAACTGCTTATACTGTTTCGCTAACAGGAGAAAAAAAGGCAGTGAGCATGCTTCTTTTAGAAAAATATTCCAGTGATAACCCATATGCACTTCACTGGTGAATATGTCGACACGTTTTTAGCTTTAAAATATGTCGTATTTATACTAACTTTTACCCTCAAAATTTCATTCGAAAGTACTTGGAAGAAAATTATAATAAATCAAAAAAAAATTAAGACTTAACACCCTGTAGCTACGAAACAAAGCAGAATCGTACCTATGTTGATATGAAAAATAAATTTTATTTTTACGTTTTTTTTTGGCATTTTCCATATAAATTTACCTATAAAATGAGAGAGATCCCCACGAGAGATGGCACATGTTTTTTGAAACACCCTGTATAGACCTTCATTTATAAAAGTTTGTATCCTAATACTTGAAAATTTAAAAGAAAATTTGTTTCTTCTTTGGTATGAAGTATTTAATGGTAAACTATTTAATAAACTTATTTTTTATTTAATTCTAGCAATCTATTTCACAAAGCAATTCTTCAAAGCGGGTCTGCTCTAAATCCTTGGTCCGAAGAATGCAATCACAGCGCTGTAACCATTGCTAGGTTAGCTAATAAGAGCGTAGACACAGAAAAAGAAGCTGTGGAGTACCTTCGAGGCATTTCTGTAGAAGAACTGTTTGCTTTACAAACTACAACAATAGCAGTAACGTATATTTATTTACCTATTTATTAGATTAATATGTTTAATACAAGGAATAAGGGGTATGTGAATATCTTCTGACAAGCACAATGTCTATCATACGATCGAAATAGAAAACGGCATCTAGTTGGCTTTGAAATTACTATCAATGACATTTTCCATATAAATTTATATATAAAATGAGAGCGATCCTCATTTCCAACTCAACTCTGATGCAGGTTTTTTTAATTGTATAGTATATACAATAAAAAAGTTTACTTCTTTTAAGCTTCATTCAGAACCTCGCAATTAGTGGAATAAATTAGTGGTTTCAATTACACTTTATACCGTATGATCGAATAAAAACGGCGTCCAGTTGGCTTGGAAATGACGATCGATGGCATTTCCTATATAAATTTACATATAAAATGACAGCGATCTTCATTTCAGAGCCATCGCTGACGCCGTTTTTATTCGATCATACGGTACTTTTTAGTTTACGATCATTCCCAGGGTCTAAAAAACACAATTAATTAAAATTAATAAAATATCCCAGCAACAGCTTGTGGTAGTCAGTTGTATCCATGGAAATTACCTAATATTTAGCTTATAAAACAATAAACTTTTGATTTCTAACCACAACTTCTCTTGACGGAAGATAATCAAAAGCCAAAATGATATTTCTCGCAAATTTTAAACTATAATTAGTGGAAAAGTAAAAAGTTTGATAACTTTTTCCACTAATTGAAAGTTCCTGCCACTAATTTTAACCTTCTGAATGCTTATATTCAAATTAAGGGAACACACACTTCTTCGCTAATTGAAACTAAACACTAACACTGAACACTAATTTATTCCAGTAATTTCGAGGTTCTGAATGAAGCTTAACAATTTTAAGATTATATAATTTACTTCACATAGAAGATCCTTTATATACAGTGTGTAAAAAATGTACACTGTTATTGCAAGCATATTCTATAAAAATTATTTGAGGGAAAAAATAAAAAAGGTCTAAGATATAGAACTTTTTCGGTTCACTGGAACTTTTAGCGATATTATTTTCTATAATTTAGTAACAAAAAAGATATTATACGGGATGGTCCGAACTGTATTCTCTAAACTTCGGCAGCATATTCTGCTGATAAAAATAACTAAAAATTCGTATAAATGTATTATGTCCTAAAATGCTTCGTTTCGGGGGATACAGGGTGAAGAAGTTTCATTTTTATTTCGATTTTTTCCTAATAATTGTTGAACTAAATTCGGTATTTGGATGAAAATTAGTTCTGGGTTTTTTTAACATGAGAAATTTGATTAATATAACTTCTACCAGTAGGGGGCGCCACCTGCATATTTTTTAGTTGTTTTGGGGAGTAATAACTTTTCGTCCGTCCTTGTCTTACACTACTGAGTGAAAAAATATACATTTGTACCTGTTTCTGCTTAAAAAATATCTCTTGGTAAAAATTGCTTCTCGAGATATTGGGATTCTTAATAACCAATACATATCATTAATAAAAAAAATAATTGAAGACATGAGTCGATAAAGGTCGGATTTTTTGCATATGTCGTATTTTTTTAAAAATCAGTTTTATTCCGCATTTCAACATCCCTTTGACAGATCTATCCTCCAATAGACTCTAAATATCAAATATAAATATCATAAAGAATAACCTAGGTGATAAAGGTGTCATGTTACATACACGATCAATAATTTTTAGACGTGTTTTGACGATTTACTCGAAACTTTAAAAAAGCGACACGACACCTTTATCCACTCATGTCTTCAATTATTATTCTCACTAGAAAAATATTTGACTGAACTAATAATTTTCGAGACATTAGTATCATAGGTTCAATTGAAGCTGTTTTAAAACTGTAAATTTTCTAGAAATTTAGCGATTTTTGAAAAATCGTATTTAGGTTAAAAACAAGCAAATTTTTAGAGAAAAAAAATAAATAATCATAATATCTAAGGCTAACAAATCAAAATTAATTTTGTGTGGTTTTTATTATTTTTAGAACAAAAAGTGTTTTTCTGAATAATTTCAGTTATTTACTTCTTTATTACAAATAATATTACCAACTAAGAATTATTACATTAGTTTAAAGACTAGAAAACACATTTTTGGCAGAAGTATACTAGTAGTAGAAGTTTGTCTCGGTTATTTTTACGTAAGAGCACAGAATATCTAGCTACGCAACAGAAGCCTCGTTACATGTATAAAATCGTAGGTCTCAAAAGGAGACAGGCTTTTAAAGCCTGTCTCCAAATCAGATATTTTGTTGCGGTAGTTTCGCTACTACAGAATAGAGGGCGATAAATAAACTTAAAAGAAAATAGTTTTCTACAAACGAAATTTAAAAGAATTTTATGCAGTGCTGCCATTGTGGAATTCATATTGTAATACTTCCTTATAAAGCCTACCTTCAAATATGCTACATCATTTAAACATATTAAAATAGATCGGAGCTCTTTTTTCAAATGTTTACGTATTTAACTTGCTATGTTAGTTGGAGTTAAATCTTACGAGCTGAATTACAATCACTTTGTGACTTTTAATTGTAATTGAATTTCCTGGCGTTCGATTGGGCATATACTTGGTATAGTAAGTATCTTCGGTGATATTGTAATATGATTGTAATATGATGCATATAAAGTGGTACCTTAATATAGTACTATATTACGATACCACTTCCTGACGTTCGATTGGGCTCATATTTGATTATACTTGTGTATTTTTTATGACATTGCAACATTATGGTACCATGCAGCAAATCAAGGGGTACCATAATGTAGTACCATATTACGATACCATTTCCTGGCGTTCGATTGGGCTTAAACTTTGTATGCTATGCATGTTCGGTGACACTGTAATATGATATATGATAGTACCATAATGCATATAAAGTGGTACCTTCTATAGTCCCATATTATGATACCACTTCCTGACGTTCGATTGGGCTCATATTTGATTATGCTTGCCTATTTTTGATGACATTCCAATATTATGGTACCATAAAGCATATCAAGAAGTACCATAATGTAGTACCATATTACGATATCATTTCCTGGCGTTCGATTGGGCTTAAATTTGGTATACTACGTATTTTCGATGACATTGTAATATGATGGTACTATGATGCATATAAAGTGGTACCTACCTATAGTACCATATTACGATACCATTTCCTGGAGTTCGACTGGGCCAAAATTTGGTATACTTGCGTTTCTTTATAAGGATTTGTTTAATTAATAATTTTAATTTATTTTACGAATTTTAATTTATTGTACAATGTCGTGACAGCAACTTTTATGCCGAACTAATATATTATTAATTGTACCTGTGTCACTTTTTAAAATCTACTTAGGTCTATATAAATAACGTGGCAAACAGAAGAAATTTGTTATTATAGTATTTTTTTAGTCAATTAACATTTTTTTATTTCCATTATTATTAAACGTATATTTCATTACTAACGGTTTCAGCATTAATAAATATCACTATCAATCGCCCTGTATATTATTAATTTTAAAGGAAATTAAAGTTATTTTCTTAGTTAACATAATAAAGTAGTGTATTACATATATATTAAAAATGTATTTTGTGCGCATATGTTTTCTAATAATATACTTAAAACTATTTTAAAGGCAAACAAATAATTAATGTAAGTGTATCTGACAAGAAACGAAGAATAGAAAGAAATTATTATACACCAGAAAAAGATTGGGATGCCAATTAAACTCTTTTTGAATCTGGCAACTGTGCATATTTAGCCGAGCTTCAAGGCCGTCAACGTGCCGTCGATCTAAAACCGAAAAATGAAAATTTCCAATTATATTCTGAATATGATATTGGCGCGCCATCTAGTATTTTATTTGTGCAATTTTTGCTCTTTCATATCGAGTATTTTTCTGTTGCGTAGCTAGATATTCTGTGGTAAGAGGTATCTTGGTAAAAATTACAACAAATAACTATTATAAAGATGTTCGGAAATTTTTTTAAGTCGTTTTAGGGACAAAAATTTTAGGAAACTTTATGACAACATGGTTTCGGCAGAACATTCAGCATTAACTCGTTTTAACGGAAATACGATTTTTCAAATATTACGAAATTTCGAGAAAATTGACAGTGGGGTATTAAAACAGATTTTCTTGAACCTTTGGTATCAGAACGTTTCGAAAATTATCAATTTACTCAAATATCTAGCTAGTGAACATGTTTAGTTTTTGTAATTGATGGCCATGTATTGAGTATTAGGAATCCAAATATCTTGGGAACGGTTGGTCGCAGCGATTCTTATCAAGAGACATTTTTTACGTAAAATAAGACGTAAATGTATATTTTTTCCACTCAGTAGTATAATACAGGGAAGGATGAAAAGTTATTACTCTTCAAAATAGTAAAAAAAAACATGTATGCACTTGTAGGAGGCACCACCCCCTACAAGTAGGAGTCACATTGACATCGAAATAAGATTTCTGATGTTAAAAAAACCCAGATATCAATTTTCATGCAAGTGTCGACATTAGTTCAAAAATTATTTCAAAAAAATCGAAATAATAATAAAACTTCTACACCCAGTATCTCCGAAACTAAACATTTTAGGACATACATTTATACCAACTTTTTTACTTATTTTTATCTGCAGAATATGTTGCCGAAATTTCCAGAATACAGTTCGAACCACCCTGTATATTGATTTTATTGCTTGAGAGACATATTAATAGTAGTATTTAATCATCAGCAATGTAACTGAAACAGGTAAATAATTACAGAACGCAGAGCCAGGTTCAATATGGCCATTCGGTTTGGCAATCGAGGATAGCTCAAACAGAGGTGCCTTTATGTCAAGAAGACCTATAGATATTATTACCTCAGGGGATTACAACAAGGTCCCTATTATTTTCGGATATAATAGTAGAGAAGGTATGTATGTATATTAGAGAAAGGTTTAGTTATCTATGCCATTTTAACTCTTTATTCTTAACTCTAGTTCTTTATTCTTCAAACATTTGTTTCAATTAAATGTATTTCATAAAAAATAACAGTGGCACTGCTTATTTAGATATGTTTTTTATAATTATATAGTAATAATAAATGAATTTCGAATTTATATTGTCTGTAGATGTGTATTTACCGAGGGGTGTCTCACTACTGGAATTACATGTACATTTTCTTGGCAGTAGCTGGCAGTCATTGGCAGTCGCTTATAATAATTACGTGGCAGTCATAGGCAGTCTTCTTCGCAGTCATTGGCAGTCGCTTGGCATTAAGATGATATTTTGGCAGTACATGTACATTTTTTACCCAAATGAGACCTCCCTCGGTATTTACCGAGGTATTTACTTACCAACACTCTCCCAAACTAATAAATACTAGAGCTGAACACTTACCTAGAAAAGAAAAACAATAATTAAACTTTTTTAAAATACCCAATAAAAAATTTAATCTAAATACACATACAGGGTGTCCCACTTAAGATGGATACAAGCCAATATCTTGGTTGTTTGTTGAGCGATCTTTTTCATTTTCGGCAGGAGGCTGTATGGCTATAAGACGTACATTTTGCCCAGGGTAAGAAATGCGATACTTCATAGACGTACGTTTTAATGGGGTTTGATATTTTTCGAGTCAAGAGTAAACTACCCTTAGGACAGTATTTATTTCAAATCTGATAAATTATATTGAATCCTCCTTACCTAAGATACTTAAGTTCTAATTTTGATAAATATTGATACAGGGTGTGTCATTAGTATAGGACATTTTTATTTTTATTATTATTTTTTTTAAGTACTTACGACGCCACTGGATATAAACAACTGGTTTATTATTATTTACGACATCTTAAGTGGGACACCCTGTATATGTTCATATCAAATAAACTTTTAGTAACGTGATTAAGCTTCGCCGGCACAGCGTTGCCCACTTTTACATATTTTCTTTAAATCAAAATATTTTAGGAAACAAAAATAAATTAATTATAAATATGTAAACAGTTATTATTTACATCAACAAAACTCACCTCCTTAATTTTTCTACCGCCTTCCCGTTCAAAATATTCTAATAGAGTTGTGATAAGTTTTTGTACGGCTATTAAGATATCTTGTATTGTACAGGGTGTCCCACTAAGAATAGCTCTCGGCTGTATCTCGGAAAGTATTAGCCGTAGCGGCTGCGGAAAAAAATATTTGTAACTAAAGAGGCTATGGGAAATTGCTGGAAATTATTATCAAGTTTGTAGAATGACCGCTAGGAGGCGCAACTGCAACAAAAAATAAGAAAATTGAGTTTTTACACAATTTTGCCTAGATAAGGTATACTATAAGTAACAGCCTCATAATCTTCAGTAAATTTTGAATATTTTTTGTTAGAGCCATTTTCCCCTATCTACCAAAATAAAGTGGTGGGGGAAGGTTAGATCTGTTTTTATTTGAATATTAATAACTCTGGACTGGATGATCGGAATCCAACAAGCGAGGGCTCGTTTAAAAGAGCGTTTCTTACTCTATATTGTACCGTATAAACAATAATAATAACCTTTTGAACGTAGACGCTAGGGGGCGTTGTCTTACAATTTAACAAACATTGTGCGTTTTTTCAAAAATATTAAATGCATTAGTATATGTAATTTTAGCTGATAGTAAAGAGTAGTAAAAGCTTAAAAAGTCAGCGAAAACCGCGCATCTTGATATCTTCTTTCAAACCGAAGATATTAGCAAAATTATAATAAATACCAAAAAATAAGCCCTTAATTACCTTATTTTTACAAAACGGTATCAGTAGCCCTCTTAATTATGCCCATTCTAACCTAAAAATAAGATAGAAACAGTTAGTTTATTTTAAAATCGACGATATACCAGACTATCATAATATCAGATGTATTAATATTTAATAATTAACATATTAATAATAGTGAACAAGAAACGATAATTCAGTGAAGTCATGGTAGGCTGTGGAAAAAGTTACTTTTGATTGTTTATACTATTAGGCGAAAAGTAACTTTTTTCCAAAGCCTACCATAACTTCACTGAATCATCGTTTCTTGTTCACTATTATTAATATCTTAATTATTAGATATTAATACATCTGGTATTTCGTCGATTTTAAAATAAACTAACTGTTTCTATCTTATTTTTTTGTTAGAACGGGCCTAATCAAGAGGGCTACTGATACTGTATTGTAAAAATAAGGTGATAAGGGCTTATTTTTGGTATTTATTATAATTTTGCTAACTATCTTCGGTTTGAAAGAAGACATCAAGATGCGGTTTTCGCTGACTTTTTAAGCTCTTACTACTTTACTATCAGCTAAAATAACACATACTATCGTATTTAATTTTTTGAAAAAAACGCTATGTTTGTTAAATTGAAAGCGCCCCCAGCGTCTACGTTCAAAACTTATTATTATTATTTTTATGGTGTAATATAGAGTAAGAAACGCTCTTTTAAACGAGCCCTCGTTTATTGGATTCTGATCATCCAGTCCGGAGTTATTAACATCTAAATAAAGATAGATCTAACCTTCCCCCACCACTTTATTTTAGCAGATAGGAGAAAATAGATCTAACAAAAAAAAATCCAAAATTTACTGAAGATTATGAAGCTATTATTTATAGTACCCATTATCTAGGTAAAGTTATTTAAAACATCTATTTTCTTATTTTCCATAGCAGTTGCGCCACCTAGCGGCCATTTTACAAACTTAAAAATAATTTCCAGCAATTTCTGATAGCCCCTTTAGTTATAAATATTTTTTTCCGTAAGCCCTATGGCTAATACTTTCCGAGATACAGCCGAGAGCTATTCTTAGTGGGACACCCGGTACACTTCGCAAAAAGAGGTTCTAAAAAGAAGAATGTTCGACTGCAAGGTCTGCTAGTAAATATTTTTAAGCTTACAGTATCAGAACTCTATTTATTTAAACTAAAAACTCATAATAAAAAACTAAAGTATCAAAACTAATGACAATGTCAGGAAATAAATAAATAAATGTGGCAACTTGACATTTTTTACAGCAGAGCTGCCACCTGAATCTACAGCGGGAGATTTAAATTCCAGTTAGTCAGTCGGCGACGAATATGTTGCAACGGTTGGCAACAGTGAATTTAAAAATCGCACCTTGATTACGTAATTAAAAGTTTAATTGGATATCAAATATAATATGTACTATATGCATATTTGGATTTCCTTAATGATAAAACTGTTGATTTACTTGACTTTATTAATTCAACACGTTAAACTATTTTTAGGTCTCGTATCTCAATTTAATAAAGTTGCCAAGGGATCGTTTAAGGCTGAAAAGCCGGAACATTTTATACCGCACAATGTGAATTTCAAAAACAACATAGTTCTTCGTCGAAATTACGTGGATAAGTTGAAAAATTTGTACTTTTCTGGAACTACAGAAGAAGAGGCTGTGATATCAGTAAGTTTTGATTCAATATAATATAAATTTGGTAGGCAATAAATGTAAAGTTTATTTTTATTAATCAATTTCCATATTCTGTTTATTTAATATAATACGTGTATTATATTACCTACTACATCGAATATACTAAATACACAGGTATAAAAAATTTAATTACTTTTAGCCAATATATTCAAGGCAAATGTAACCGCTTGTTTCTTGACAGTTTGGTTTATTTGCAGATTTAATATAATTATTTTTTCAAAATTTGACAACGTGAATTTTTGAGGATCCTGATATAAACAGAAAAATAGTTTTAAATAAATAAATAAATACATCTTTAAAGACTTAGAAATGAGAATTTAGGCATTGCATATGCCGGGTGCGTCTCAAAAGTAGTTCACCCCTATAACTTTTTTATTTTTTTAGATAAAAAACGAGATTTCGTATATTAGTATATGACATAAATTAGGATTGATTGGCGTGTTCAATTGTTTTCGGTCACTTCCTGTTTCACCGGAAATGACTACAACTTTTGATTTTTAAATGGCATTCTCGGTATTTTTTGCTTTATTCCATAGAAAATGACACTTTGACTATTAACATGTTTGCTTAGAAAAAAATCGTATTTTAAATTTCAATCTAGAGTGCCATGGCTGTCTGTGTTTGTGGCACACTAATTTTTAATCAAGGAGTCTTGGAAGAATAGATTTTATATAATGTTTTTCGTCTCTTTGTCCTGGCGGGTTAAAAGATACCCAAATCTATTATATTAATCATATCTCATTTTTTTAGCCGATCACACCAACAGGTATGGTAGGCTATTAAGATCGGCAAAAAAAGTTTTTTTAATTTCACTCAAAAAGGGTTATTTGGGTCATAAATGACCTAAATACAAAACATTTTCATGGTGTATGTCTGTCTGTCCATCTGTCTGTAACACGATACGATAACTATAAAACCGCTTAACCGATTTTATCCAAATTTGGCACAAAATACTGTGGTACCGAATCTGGCCATTAGTTTTTGGTGGTGGTGGGGGTTGGAGGGGGTCAAAATTTTTAAAAATCGTAACTCAAAAAATTAAACGCGGTTTTCAATTTAAGATTAGGAATAATATTTGCAACAAAATTTGTAATAACATCAAAATCAGTCAAAGTCGCAGTTTTTGAGATAATTGAAACTAAAAGAACTGCCTACAACTTTTTATTAACATATTTTAGTATGGGCGGCTATACGTGCCTCCCGGCGCCAATTTTTTTCAAATGGAACAAGGGTGGCTCATTAGCATATTTGAAAAAAGCATTTTTTTCGAATAATTTCGTACACACTTGGTATTTCAATCCAAATTGTCGTTATGAACAGCATGTTACAATTTCAAATAAGCCATATGCAAAAATGTCAAAATTTGACATATATAATATGTAATTCTATTCACAGTGTCATTTTTTGTAAGGTAATTTTAGATTGTTTTCAATTAATTAAAAATATACAGTGTGTCCAATATAAAAAACAATTTTTTCTGTTGATAACTCCCCCCCCCCTTAAATTATATTAATAAAAACCTTATACTTAAACCATTAAATTCTAGCAAAATAAAAACACTAAATCACCACAATACACCAAAACACTTTTACTTTTACACTGGACGCGCGTTTCGCTAACCATGTTAGCATCATCAGCAGATGATTATAAACTAAAGTACAATCTACAAGTTGAGCGTTTATATACTCGCTCAGTGGGCACCGAGTGGGCGTGGCAAAATCTAGCCAACCGAGTCAGAGCCCACTGAGGGTAAAAGTTAGATTTCCGCCAGTAGAGTAGTAGGAACAAAGAACTTGAAGGAATTAGACCGTTGTCTCTGTTCATACTAATTCCTTCAAGTTCTTTGTTCCTACTACTCTAGTGGCGGAAATCTAACTTTTACACTCAGTGAGCTCTGACTCGGTTGGCTAGATTTTGCCACGCCCACTCGGTGCCCACTGAGCGAGTATATAAACGCTCAACTTGTAGATTGTACTTTAGTTTATAATCATCTGCTGATTATGCTAACATGGTTAGCGAAACGCGCGTGCAGTGTAAAAGTAAAAGTGTTTTGGTGTATTGTAGTGATTTAGTGTTTTTATTTTGCTGTGTAACACCAAAGGTTCCAACCCTCAAGTGTAATCATTAAATTCTACGTAAAAAATTGATCTCCGGACACCACCATTAGCTGGTTAGTTTTGTTTATTTCTTTTAGAAAAAAGAGCCCAATTTGACCTACCCTGTTATGTTCCCCGGAACAAGCAAAATTTTTTATGAAAAATGCATTTTCCTCAAAATGTCAAAAATAAAAAAGTGTTTCTTCTTGTAAAGACCATTCGGGAAAACACTGTATATTTTGGGTACCTATATAGGGGAGAGTGGGGTAAGTGCGGCACAGGGGGCAAGTGCGTCTTTCTAAATAATTCATACATTTGGCATCATTGCCGACAACAATCAGTAAAGTTTACGTATCTATCAACAAGTGCATAGTGTTATTGAAAATCTAGCTGAAAATTGCTAAAATTAAGGTAAATATAAATATTTTTCGTATTCCACATCATGTGATGTAATATTTAAGGCGAATTACCTAGATTTTTTTCATAAATTAAGGGCGATATTTAAACATTTCTTTATGCTCATAATATAACCCACTATCTCTGCAATAACGCCTGATATGTACAACTTTGCCAAATATACCTTTTTCTTTTGAAAGAAATATTCGAATTGTTAATGTCACCTTGGGGCAAGTGAGTCTTTTTCATGACTCACTTGTCCCACAATAGTTTAAATTATAAATAAATAATTCGTTCTTTTTCGCAGGTTGAAGATGGTTCGGAACTACGTGCGTAAGACACAAAGAGGGTCATATTCAGAGGATGCTCTGCACCGTGCTTTAGAAGCTGTTCATAATTAGCAAATCACATTAAAAAGAGCAAGTGCTGTCTTCAATATTCCGAGAACAACCATACAGTCACGATTAACTCGTCAAGGGCTCAATAAAGTTAGAAACTTAGGCAGATTTAAACCCGTGTTCACTGCACAAATGGACATAAAATTGCGAATAATGGAAATAGAATAGAGCGACTTTGAAGCGGCTGAAAATATTCTTCAAAAGAAAATCCAATCAAGAAAGCGACGCGGCCGATAATATTCCTCAAGAAGAATGCATTAATTCAAGAAGAGCGTCTGTTGAGGTCATTCTTCAAAAGAACTCCAATCCGGAAAGTGTCAATTTGTCAATCATGTCCAAAAACTTAGCTAAGTCTGTGGGTGACTCACTTACCCCATACCTTGGGGCAAGTGAGTCATTTGACATTTTTTTTGTAAATCTGAAATTTAACCAAATATTCAATTTTTTGTATATTTTTTTAAGGTAGATTACTACTTATACAGTTAAAGTTAGTATTTATGTAATAAACGTTTTTCTATTTCTTAAAATAAAAAAATTGTACATCATTGAACGTTAAGGTGCCGCACTTGCCCCACTCTCCCCTACGTGTTATACAGTTAAGGTTTGTCTATTTAAATTATTTGTCTGATGGTTTTCATTCATTTCTTTGAATGTCCCGTGTCTCTGAAAGTAAACAAGTAGAGTTTTTATTATATTTAGAAGACGATATTAAATTCTAAAATTGAATTTAAACATTATGAGTATACAATAGTTTCATATTCCAAAACACGTTCTTACTAGTGTATTTATTACTTGCAGATTTTAGGAGACGCCTGGTTTGTAGTCGGCATTGTAGGAGCTGTAAAGAATCATTCTCAGACATCTATGTTACCAATCTACTTATACAAGATGTCTCTGGATACTAAGTTAAATATGTTTAAGACTTTGCTAGACATTAATGATATTCCAGGTAATATTGATGGTTAGATTAAGAATGTCCCGTTAAATTTGTTTATCTCCATAAATATATATATTATAGAGGGTGATTTTCTACTATGTTCTCTATCAGTATCTTGGAAACAACTGGAGCTACAGAATCAGTCAAATTGAGAAAGAATTGCAATTTTGTGAGGTCAAATATATGCGCCTTTCGGATTTTTGAAAAAGTTTAATACTTACTAGATATTTAAAAAAACAAATTTTGGCTGTTTTAAAAATGCTCTCTAATTCCATTATAATCTATTTTAGATAAAAAGTTTTTGAATAAAAGTTGTCGATAATCACATCCTTCCACGTGATGTTGTTGACGAGTTTTTTTCTAAAGCCCGATATTCACATATGTCAAAAATGACAGGCTTTAGAATAAAAAACGGAGAACATAATCTCAATAAGGATGTAATAATTATCTACAACTATTATCTGAAAATATTTTGTCTAAAATAGATTATAATGGAATACTTGAATTGGTATGAAGTCAAAGTCTATAAAATAAAAGTAAAATCCGTCTCACACTATAAATGGCAGAACTTGGTTGAGATGGCATTTGTCTCTCCAATATATATTTTATTTTTCTTTATTTTTTCTTAACACTATTATTATTCTATTTTAACCTTACAGGATGTGCCCATGCTGATGACATTGGCTATCTGTTCAAAACATTCGTAACTCCACCTATCGAAGCAGACAGCACTGAAGACATCAGTTTGAGGAATGTTCTGAAATTATGGACCAACTTTGCCAAGTATGGCGACCCCACTCCTGACGAAACCGAATTCGGTATTACATGGAAACCGACAAAGGCGCGCCAATTGAATGTTTTGAATATTGGATCAGAGCTAAGTTTGTCGGTAAATCCCGAGAATAAGAGGCTGGAGTTATGGAGAGAATTGTACAGTCAGTCGCAAGCTACAATAAAATATTTGTAAAATAAAAATCGTCAATAAAAAATAAAATGAACGTTAATATAAATTGAAGTAAATTCTATAATTAAATATCCCCTACATTTTTAATCATATTAGCGAATCTTAACAATTATTAGTAAAAATCTACATTGATTGACTTGGTTTGGTTAGTTGTACTCCGTTCCCCCGGAAAACCATAACAGCGCTATAAAAATCAGAGAAGAACTATTGGAATATGTATCGGAATTTAATTACCTGGGCAGTTTGATTTCGGAAAAGGCAAATATCGACTCTGAAATTCAGCAGAGAATTAGCAGCGCCTCAAGAACATTCTGGAAATTAAAAGACACGGTTTTTTACAATCATGACTGGAGCACAAAAACAAAACTTGCAGTGTATCGAGCAGTAATAATCCCCACCATGTTATATGGAAGCGAAACCTGGGTGCCGCGCCGTACCGCCGGCACACGAGCGCATTAAACAAGTTGTAACAGAGACACCTTAGACAACTGTTAAGAATCAAATGGTACCACCATGTCTCAAACGTATCAGTCCTTGAAAAAGCAAGCTGCGAGAGCGCTAAAGTCATGATTACTAAATCTCGCTTAAGATGGGCTGACCACGTATGCAGGATGCAAGAAAACCGTCTACCGAAATCTCTTCTTTATGGCGAACTTGTAGAGGGTAAGAGGAAACCGGGTGGACAACTCAAAAGATACAAGAAGGATGTTTTCCATGAAAACTTAAAGGGGATAAGTATGCAGCATCAGTGGGAGGAAGCAGCGCACAATAGAAAACAATGGAGGAGAATTGTAAACTCAGTTAATATGACGACAACCAAAATATAAAGAGGCAACAAAGTAATGAGATTTTTGAATGTCCGGAGTGCGGAAGATCACGTATCGGGCTTTTCAGTCACAGAAAAGGTCATGAAACGAAACGTCTTGCGTAATCATCTCCTGATGCGTGTCAAATACTCGTCAGCGAATAGGGGACCAATATTTCGACAGTTTAAAGTTTGAATGGGATTTCCATAATAATGGCAGTAAGTAAGTAAGTTGCACGCCAGTAAAAGTTCAATAAACAATTTTGAAACAAATATTTAACATAAACTTTTTTTAAACAGTTACCCAGTAGCGCCTAGACACTTGATGTTTTTTGAGATTAAGTACGCTCACCGCGCACCGGCACGAAAAACGGGCATCTTAAAATTTTGATTTATTTTAAAGTTTAATATAATAATCTAGTGGGCCGATTTTGATGCTTTTCTTAAGCAATGTGTAGCTAAATTATTTGACTTCTTGGTGCTTCTCTCTAAATTAAAAATGAAAGATCCCATCAGTCAATTATACGAGGGAAAACAAAATGTAGATCTTCTACTTCTTCCTTCTTCATACTATAGGCGAATCGCCTGTTTGGTTTCGTCGTCTCTACCGGTCAAACTGACAAGTTGTCGCTCCATCGTTTTCGTGGACGTCCTAAGCTTCTGCGACCTAGCGGTGATTTGTCGCGTACAACGCTCACTATCCTTCTGTTGTCCATTCAGCTGATATGCTCGTTCCATTCTTCCTTTCTGCTGAGTACCCACTCATTTACATTTTTCACCTTGCATGCTCTTCTTATGCTTTCATTTCTCTCCCTGTCCAAAAGCGTCTTTCCAGCTGTTCTGCGTAGTACTCTCATTTCGGTTGTAGTCTCAATAGTTAGTTTTCGCTGTATCAGGTCGAGTTTCTGCAGTATATGTCATTATTGGTCGTACCGTTGTTGCCTTGTCTATGATTGATGCATGATTCTCGCTTTAGTTTCCACCTCAATGTTTTTATTTCACCATATTGTGTCATACAGGCATCCTGCTATTCTGGTTGCCTTCGTTGTCCGTTCTCGCACCTCCGCCTCTACATCACCATATCCTGAGATTTCTATGCCTAGATACTTGAACTTCATTTCTTGCTGGATAACATTGCCCTCGACTTCCAGTTTGCATCTTAGTGGTACTTTTGTAATGCATTTAGTTTTCTGGGTCGATATTCTCATATTAAGTGATTTGGCAGTGCAGTTAAATCGATGTAATAAACGCTGCAGATCGTCCTCATTTTCGGCTATCAATACGGCGTCGTCGGCATAGCACAGAATAGTAATTTCGTGGTCGCCCATACTGTATCCCTTCAGTAAACGTACATTTCCTATTGTAAAATGTAGATATTTTGGTGAAAGTTTGAAACACCCTGTGGAATATATTGAGTGTGCAAGGAATTTAAAAATAGTTTTAACATTTAGATACATCCATTTTCAATAGTTTGATTTTTAGTTTATCTCAAAGTTCGCTTTTGAAGAAGATACTTTTCTCGTAATGTTTACATTAAAATCATGCCTTTGTTTTTGGTCCTAGTCACCAGATCTAGTAAGTTGTAGTCTCGAAGCAGGCCTCCTTGACTTGGTTTGCTTCGTTTAATCTTCTTTTTAGAGTCCGTTCACTTACATGTACATTCCTCAGGCGCAATTCAACATAAATTTGAAAAGCCGACAAACGGCGATTTCTTAGCGATAAACTTACAATAAGTCGATCGTCTCGATTCGAAGTCCCCATACGAGGGTTTCTGGACGTCTAGCATATGAATTTGTCTCGAGAAAGTAACTGCACTGTATTTCGGAGCTAGAGTGACTGCCCAACAGGCTGATTTTTCAATAACAGTGACATTAAGTCAATCCTAACTACTATACTTCCTAGGTCTGTTGACACGGACCAAAAACAAGAGCATCGTCTTAATGTAAAAATTACGAAAAAATGTTAGTGTCTTCTTCGAAAGCGAATATCTTTAAAAAAATAAAGCTATTGAGATGAACTAAAACACAAATTTCTAGAAAAGATGGACCTAGAAGATAAAATGTTTCATAATTTCTTTGTTTTTTTTAACTTATTCCACTGAGTATTCCAAAACTACCACAAAAATAACAACATTTTTTGTTCCTTAGTAGAATTGACAAATGGGAACTTTTTTAATTCAAGAATAGATACTATAAAGTCAAATAATTTGGCTACAAATTGCTTAAAAGATCATCAAAATCGGTCCACCAGGACACAATATATAAAACTTTAAAATATATCAAAATTTTAAGGTGCCCGTTCTTCGTGTAGGTGAGTAGATTATATGCAGATTGTGAAACAAAGTCAAGCAATCTTTATTCATAACACTATATTCTAGTTACCATAACACCAATATAGAAAATTTTAATATCTTTTTAGCGTAAGACGCACATCTACGGGGATAAAAGCATCAAATACAATTAATTCATTTCATAAAAACCATTATAAATATGTTAATCATCACACAATTCAACCTAATACGTAAAGACTCTTTAGAAATAAATGAACGAATTTACTTTCAAACATTTTCTATGTCATTCATTTCCAGGTATCTCCCCAGCGAATACAACCGCTATCAGATGCATTTCCGCTATTTATCAGCGAAGCTATGTATAATAGAGTTGTTTTTTAGAGCCCAGTTGCATCAGTTACAGCCACGTATACTGTAATCCGACAATGTCATTCGGCTGCTGTTTTGTAACAAATGCCCCGTGCCGAATTTATTATTCGCAATCCGTTATTGATTGCCGTTTGAAATTGTACTGGCTCGGATTTACAGCGAGATGCGTCTTAAACGGACTTGAATTTAGGTTCGACAGCAGGAGTTTGGCAGGGATCGTCTCGTTTGGGTTGCAGAAATTTATGCATGGATAAAATGAATAGTCGACTTATTATGTTTTAAAGTTCAAATTATATTAATTAGTCTAATCGACGTGGAGAAAGATATACCCTGAAACGTTGGAGGAGAGGGTGGTAATATGGAAACTATATTATGAAGAAACCCTCTCCCAAGTAGCATTTTCGACACAAAATCGAAACAAAATCTCGGTTGAGAAACATTGCGAAACAGTTTCGTCACATTTTTGATACATATGTTTCGTAACATATAATAAATCGCTTTTTGTTTCGAAATATTTTACCAAAATATGGTTTCGCTACATGAGCTAAAACAATAAAGAGTCTTAGTGTCACAAATTTCTTCGAATCTTTTAAGAAACAGATGTGGCTCACATTTACAAAGATTTTTTACCTGTTTTGTGCCTCAAAAGTTTTCATAATTTATTTAATATTCTTTCAAATATGAGAGCATAACCTTACTTTAATTGTTTTGATTTTGTTCTGCAGTTTTTAGATTTAAGTATTCTTCAAATTTTTATAGTACTATAATTAACAAAGCAGAAGGAAGGACATATTATGGTGAGTACAAATACAGATATTTTTCTTATGCGATTTTATAATTATTTATTATACGCATTACAGAGATCATTTGTTTTAGGAATAAATGTAATAACAGCCACTACCCATATCCAACAGGAAACCGAAGGAAAATGTTGCCAGCAAACGTTTTTTTCTCTTTTTTCCACAATGGAATACATGTTTTTATGTTTTAATTGTAGATATTATAATAAGTAAATAAAAATATTTTAATTGTTTTGAGCAGAAGTTTTGAAGTGACTAGTTCGAAATTTCTACACGGATAGCGCTAAATCAAGACATTTTGGAAACAAGGTTTCCATTTATTGTTGATTCATTTTCGAAACACGAGTTTTTCTCTTTTAGACACAAATATGATAAACTCGCCAGCAAAATTAACGCATAATCGTATATTAAGTCTTATAAGTTTTATTGTCTGTATTTTAGATCAATTATATTGGCCTAAAATTACTTCTGTTTATTATTTCTTGCTGAAGCGATCCTTTTTTTCATGACTGATAAGAATTTATCAATAGTTTTTATAAATTCCCAAAACAGGTATATTCGCTGAAATGCTCGAAGTCGTTTATTTTAAGATCATTTTATTTGAGTGCGCGGCTGTTGTCTGTTAAACACTTAAATCAGTAAAATGAACCCTAACGTACGTCAAAATCGCAATCTCCGAAGAGTGTGCTGCAGTTATTGCATTATTTGAAGAAGGCTTGTCTTAGGTACAAATAGCGGAAAGATTTCATGTTGGACAATCAACGATCTCGAAGCAATAAGAAGA